AAAATATTGTGGAACCAGAATAAAACATATTTAAAATGAAGAGAGTTATTCCAATGTGGTCTACCAAACAGTTTTAAAACACTTTTTCAAATCTTAGAGCATATTTATTCTAAAGTTAAAAAGGGTCCTTGAAATAGTAAGCTTATAAGCTATAAATACTACATAAAGTATTCTACTGTCTTGACACAAATTTAAAACCAATCTAAAGTGGGCTCCCTTATAGGTGCAAGTTCCTAGTCCATTTAAAAGAGTTGAAACAAAACCATCATCATCAACTTATAAAAAATATTAAAAACACTCAACATTCTTCTTTGCAAAAGTTCATCTCTAGCACTTTAAACTTAATTTGTACATCACGAAATCCGGCACACGTCCACCCCAAGTAGGGAGGCAGTTGCATAGATGTAGGTGCTGCAAAACTCGATTTCCATTTAGGGCAAAATAATGCAACAAATTTTGTGTAGTTTGCATTGCAAGGTTTTTTTTCTTGATTTTGTTTTTGGCAAAAGTGCACAGCAATTTGCATAACGATAGCGCTGGGTAAAATGTGGGCTATAATAAATATTCAAATTTTATAAAGTAAAGTGCAACCCTCATCCCCCTGCTTAAGCCATCCCTCCCCCTTTACCCCCCTCGAGCATATCAACGAAAGCGTTAAATTTACGACAGGCTGCTGCTGGCTGGAAAACGCTCGGCATTTATGGTCAAACATGGCGTCGCCAACAACAAAAACAAGAAGAAAAACTTGGCCAACACCCCCCAACAGCCCTCCAAATCTGCTGAGTGGCTGCCATTTCGCATGCGCGCGCATTTAAATGCAGTTCCTTTTTGTTGTTGTTTGTTGTTTTTCTTTGGCAAAGTATTGTTTATGTGTTTGTTTGTGTGTGTTTTTTTAAGACGCCCCTTGAGTTGTTTTTTTATATTTTTTTTGTTAGCTAGTCTACCTTGTTGCAGCTCTAGCCATAAATTCAGCTTTTATGAATTTATGGCTTAATTATATACATATACTTTGTATACCAATGTACATGCATACACACACACATACATATAATTATATTTATATATATATGTATATATTTATGAGAGTGTTCGAGTTTTTTTCCTTTTTTTTTTTTGGTTAGTGGCAGCCGCATTTCTTGTGCCTCATTTCACGCTGATGATTAAGTGTCGCACACACTCACATTCACACAATAACAAACAGCACACTGCTGCACACACTCAGTGCGAAACACTCAAACACCCATTCACTTATTCACTGTCGACTCGGTCTGAACTTTTCGCCTGCATTTATGCTTAAATGCACTGCAATTGTTTCTAAAATGCAGCCACTGCACGCGATGATGGAAAACTTCAACGATTTTCATTTTTTTCTTTTTTTTTATACCCTGAACCAATTGATCATGGCTAAAAGGAGTTGAATGCTGCTGTTGAAAAGTATGTGACAGGCAGTAGAAGGCATAGTAACTATGTATTTCTTGATCAGCAGTAACAGCCAAGCCGATTTTGTTTGTTTCTTTCTTTTTATCGATACAAATCGATTACCGATAGCAACCATAGGCATCGCAATTATTATATATGTTTGAGGTATGTCTTTTTTATCAAGATATTTACCTACAATAAATGTTAATAAACGATTCAGACTTGAGTTCAGTTGTCTCCTAGTCGAGCTCTCTCGACTTGAGCATTCTTATTTATTTGAAATCTAAATATGCCTTTTAATCATAAAGTGGGTAAATGGTAGATAATATTAAGATCATGGAATACAAAACCTATCTAGGACTTATAGGACTGGCTTTTGCTGAGATGAAATAATTCAATTGACTGTACTTTTATTCAACTTGTCCATTCATTTTTCATTCGGCTGAAAGACCTTCAAATTATATACGTAAATTATAAATAAATATCTTTAAATGAATAACCACTAATTGATTATAGTCCATTTTTTTAACATTTTTTCTTAGAGTTGATTACAGGGCAATTATTAGTCGAGCACTTTGATCTGTAAAGTTTTTACTAGTTTTTATTCTTTTCATTGTTATGCACAACTTGCAATAATAACTTGCTGCATTTACCAATGAATATTATTATTATTTCGGCTCGGTAATGAAAAAAAAACCATATCTTTTATTGTTTATATGTTTCTCTAAAAGTTTTTCATTTTGAGGGAATCGGAATTGGGTTAAGCAGTAGCAGCAGCATTTCCCACGTTTCAGAGTCCGAAAAAGATGCAATCAGAGCTGCTTCTACTCTTGCCTGGTTGTGTTTTGCCTTTGAGCGATCTGCACACACACACACACACAAAAACACACAATGTACACACACACATACACACACACACCCGCACACACTCACATGCAAAAGCAAATAAAAAGCAGGCAGCACCTGGCCAGACAGCTTGTCTATAAAAGCCAGCCTTAGAACAAGCCAAGAATTTCTTGCATAAAGCCAATTAAATTAAGAAATCTGATGCAGTGCCAATGATTCTTTTTTATTTTTGTCTTTCTCATTTTCTTTTTGTTTATTTTATTTTTTACACTCGAGCCGAGAAACGTGAATCACTGCGAGAAGGCCTCGGTCAGCAATTGGTATTTTACAACAAACAGCGCTTGCGTCCTGGCTTATTTAACATAAATCGAATGGCTACTGGAATACACGTCCAGTCTTGGCCTTATCTGCTGCCTGCCTGGCTGTGGACACCTTGGTCCACCAGTCCAACAATGTCTGCTGCCAATATTCATTGAGTAAAGCGTGGAGACGACCTTTACAAGAATTGCTGAGCCCCAGAAGAGCCCCAGAAGAGCCCCAAGAGCTGGCCGACCGACGGCGCAGACAAATCACGACCCGAAAAATACATTTCAGAGGGCAACTGTCATTGGCAACAGGACGAGAGTCCAACAACAACAACAACAACAAGAGCAGAAACAGAAACATCAGTGGACAAGTTGTGGCGGGGGCGCTGGACAAGTTTTTCACACCTCAAAAGCCAATGCTGACCCAACTAATAAGCCAAGCCAAGCACAACTGCAGCTAACAGTGAAGAGACCACAACAACAACAACAATAGCAACAACAGCAACAATGTGGCATAATAAATAAAAGCCAAGTAGCTGCCTTAGAGTCTGCCTCTGAAAGTGGCCAAGTCTTTGTTGCAAACACGTTTATACGTTTGCCTTTATTGCGATAACAAAGGCCAATAAAGCACTAAATCGACCCTGTTGGACTAGCAAAAGAAATTCCAATTTGAATTCTATTTTCGTGCTCAACAAAAAGTATACAATTTGAACATAAATTCAATTAGAAGTTGCATAGCTGACTTAAGGCATGCATAATGTGGCACGATCTATTAAATATTAAATGCATGTGCTGAAATAGCCCTAAGACAATTATAGAGAATAATTATTGCTTCATTTACAAAACAATACATAAGCTAAAGTAATTAGAATAAAATATTAAATAGAAAAAAATTATTTCTTAAAATAATAAATAAGTTTAAATAGTCTTAAGGCAACTAGAATAAAACAGAGAAATAATAAATAAAAAATAATTATTTCTTAATTTACATAATAATTCAGAAAGACCCTTTAAAACCAGCAAAAATATAACTAGAAAACAACTAGAATAATTTATTAAAAAGAGAATAACTATTTCTTAATTTACATAATAAGTCGTAAGCTTAAATAGTCTTAAGGCAACTGAGTTAAAAAAAAGTAGAGAATTATTATTTACAAATTATCATAAGCTTGTTAGGATAATGAGTCAGTAAATATGCTTAAGCCGTAAGTTAACTGACAGAAAATAAGTTTACGGCACAAGGCTTGTGAAAAGAGAAGCGAAAATGTTGAAGATCATTAACTGATTTTTTATCTTAGTCATAAAATAAATGGAAAAAGTTTTTAGGAAACTAAACCAAAAGGCAGAATATATAAAAAAATGTTAAGCTATTATTATATTCCTGCCAACCTTCAAGATAAATACCATAAAGATAAGATGCAGAAATCGTATAGCAAAACTGCTATAATAAACTTCTCAACAGACAGATTTGCCAGCAGATTTGAAACAAGCAGCTAAACTAACAAATTCAATTGTAGACTTTGTGCATATTGCAATAAGTGTCGCATAAACGAGGTATGACTGTGAGTACGAGAGTTTGGCGACTTGGCGACTTGGCAAGTTGGACCTGGTTGGAGGCTGGCCTGGTCTGCGATTTTCACAAGTTGATATCGCAAACACAAAATGTTAATGAGCAATTTCGAGATGGTGCGAAGTGATTTCATTATTTAAACTTCTTTCTGTTGTTGTTGTTGTTGTTGCAGTTGCAGTTGCAGTTGTTGGAGCCCATGGTGCCTGTTGTTGTTACTTGTGTTTATTTTTTATATTATTTTTGTGGTTGGATTTCTTTTTTGGTTGTGTGTTTATATTATTACGAGTGGCTCATTGGGTAATGAAAGCGAAATAATTTTAATTGGTGCCCCAATGGCAGCACTTCTTCTTTCGTTCCACAAATTAATTATTTCCTGTCAAATTAGGTATTTTGATATTTTAGCATAAATTACGCTTTTTGGCACACAATGAATATGCAACACGAAAGTGTCACCTGCCGTAGCTGCTGCCGCTGTTGCACGTCCTCAGTTGCCACTTCAAAACATTGTTCCGCCGCATAAATTAATGGCAACAATGTTGATCAATTGGGTCGCATTTGATGATTAAAACATAAATTGCAATGGATGCAACCGACCCCTCGCATACATATACATATATGCATATATATTTCGTATGGATATCATATATAGGGGGCAACCTTAAAGGGGTTGCTGCTAAAATTACACTTAATTAAACAACGAGCCATTAGCGTTTTTCATTTAAAACTGAAAGGAGCGACGGCACAAGCATAATTGTTATCCTTGATCCCCTCGTAACATGCGCTGCAAAGCAAATTCAGTCAAGTTTTTCTTATGTTTTTGTATTATTGAAAATGTTACAACAGCAGCTGCTTTATGTTATTGTAATATATAGCAGCATACACAGCATCTACCCGACTTGCACTGTGACGCGCATAGATATGCGAGAGCCCCGTGATAATGATATAGGACTCATGTTTGGTAAGCCTTCAAAGTTTACGCGCAGCATTCGCAAGTTTAAATCTTCAAACGGTAGATGTGACTGTCTGCAATAATGATAAGAACGATATCGACTCGGACATGTTGGAGCTGACAGTGAACTCAAATGGCATTTGCACATTGAATCTGCCGAATGGGGAACAGGTGGAGGCAGGTACTATTTTTGGCGGTGATTTGACGACAATTGAGCCGGGCAAGAGTGTTACAGTATCCCTGGTGTTGCCCACTGAGGTGCGTACAAAACTCAATTGGAAATCGTTGTATTTCTCCTAGCTGTTGTTGTTGCAGTCTGTTTACAATCGCGTTGGCAGCTGCCCAATCGCCATTTGGAGCATGAATCATGAAAACGGAAGGATGGATCAAATTAGCCAAATTTTACACTTTGATACGCGTTTCGAGACACTGGATCCGAGCGCTCAATCGCTGCGCAGACGCACGGATTTCGTTGACTGCAACAACTGGGACAAGGACTACTTGCGCAATTGCACGCCCGTCGACTGTGAGGAACGGTATTTTGGGCAGCGGAGCTTCTACAATCGCATAACGGAACATTGTGAGCCAACTCCGGCCTCTTCTTCCAGCGGAGATATGCAGTACAATTACTATGCCAACGAGTGTGTCGAAACGCAAACGGTCATCACAGAAAAAAAGATTGAGCAGCCAGAGACGAGCACGGAGAGTTATAATATCTTTGAGTTGCATCCCTACGGTGGAATGAGGCGAAATGTAAGTGCAACTCACAGTGTCGCCATCTACACAAAATAACATTCATTGTTTAGTGCGCCATCTAGCGTTTAAAGTTTACAGTGAGGCAGCTTTACGTACTTGGCATTAACAGTGCGTTGCTTTGCTTTAGTAGTTAAGTTATTCAGCAATGTGCCAGTGGCGCCGTGGCTTAGTTGGTTAAAGCGCCTGTCTAGTAAACAGGAGATCATGAGTTCGAATCTCGTCGGGGCCTATTGTGGAAACCGCAATTGATAAAATTGTGTTCTTTTTTTAACAAATATTTTATTTTATATTTTTTAATATAATCCCAAATATCTAATCTACTACTTTTAACTAGCTGCATATTATTGAACACCATACAAATACAGATACGGTGACAAACAATAAAATGGAAATAATGAATCTAAGTCATGTGGTACGACAATTGTAAAAATATGTGTAATCTAAAAAACTATTATTTTTAATATATTTTATTAATTAGCTGCATACTCAGAAACACCATGGCAATGTAAGTACGTCGACCGAGAAGAAAATGGAAATAGCCAATAGCAGTCAAGTGGTAAAGGAATGCGATTTTCCAAACAAACTTTCCCTCGAGGATTTTAACAATTGTTTTCAGCATCTACCATACGCAAAAATAAATACATCTGCCACAAGGAAATTGAAGAAAAAGATGTCACCAAAATCTGAATTGCGAAACTTTTACTACGCTTGGTATATGCCCCTGAATGCGGAGAGCAACTTGGGGAAAGACAATAATAATAATAATAATAATAGCGTTGATGGTGGTGATACCAGCAGCACATCATCAGGACCTGATAGTAGTAACACTATCGATGTGGATCCGGACCACACATTGGAAAACATTAACAATAGCAATAGTGGGAGTGTAATGGGAACATCGCAATCGAATAATTTTCGCCATCTGCTAGCCTCGTATAGTGCAATGGAGTGGCTGATAATGGCAATGGAAATGCTGCTCCTCGTGAGTTAATGTCAACCAGATTAGGTATATATATTGAGTGAGGCAGCATTTGATAATCGGTAATTGTTGCAGATCTTATTGGTCATTATATTACAGATCATAATCACGTTACTCATCTACACAGTGGTGTGCATTTGCCTCTACATTCTTCTGGAAATAATCGGCGAGATAAAAACAAAGAAGGCAAGCAGCAGTCATTTAGGTAAGAAAATGATGCCACGACACAGAAAAGACATAAACTATGTTACGACCTCAGCTAGTTTATTGTCACTATTAAAATGACTTGTGAAATTCTTATTAACTTATGTATGTTTAGCTTTAAAGTTGGTGCACATTATTTTTATAATTAAATTTAATTTTTTTGTCAATTTAATTATTCAATATACGTTGGTGATGCATTTACTGCCGTTAATCTTTGTCTTTCGATATTTGGTATCGCTCGTGCTTTTATTATTAATAATCGATAGCTATTAAGTGCTCTGTTAAGCCCCCATCACCATATTTTTGGAATAAAGCGGCTTGCCAATGTAATTGTTTTCTTATTATTTGTTATTCGTACGTCATTTGACAATCAATTGTTATTTCGGGCAGTTAACAATTTGGCCGAATGTTAAGCGACTGTAAGCAAGAAAACATCTGATATTGTTTATTTTGTCAAACGAACCAGTTGAACGACAAGCAGGTTCATTTGAACAGTTCAGTGAGTCGTTGGGGCAAACATATCACGAACGGTTCGATAGGGGCACAACTTTAATTGAAATTAATTCTACATTTAAATTTGGTTACCAAAATAATGTTGTCGCTGGACGAGCTACTGTTCCGCAATTTTGAGGACCTAAAACACTTTAAATTCGACGACGAAAAGCACTCCACAATCACATCCAGAGAACAGGTGAGTAATTGGCACGCTGACAACCACAAAAACGTAGATAACAAAAACAAAAAATAATAAAAACTTTGCAGCGAAAAACTGAAGAGTCTGTGGAGAAATGCTACGATCGCTTCAACCATGTACAATTTACAAATCCGGGTGCATCCCAGCTAAATCGCACACAGCATCTGCAGTATTTGGAAATTATGCTGCACAAACTGCCGTGGAACTATGAGTGTCTGGACAGCAGTCGTCCCTGGTGCATCTATTGGATACTGCAGTCGTCGAAACTGCTCGGCTACAACTACGACGACAAGTATCTCGAGGACATCGTTCAATTTCTCATCAAGTGCGTCTCCAATTATTCCCTTATTGATATCACCTAATATACGTATTCTTTTTTCATAGATGTCGGGCACCCACGGGTGGGTTTGGTGGCGGACCCGGACAATATGCTCACCTGGCGCCAACCTATGCGGCCGTCAACAGTCTGTGCATCATTGGCACCGAGAGCGCATATCGTGCCATCGACCGGGAGTCACTTGTGAGGTTTCTGTTCAGTGTGCGCGATGTTGACGGCTCCTTTCGCCTGCACGTGGACGGTGAGATAGATGTGCGTGGCACCTATTGTGCCATCTCCTGCGCCAAGCTAACCAACATGCCCGAATCGATCTTAAGCGAATTATTCCGCGGCACGGCGGATTGGATTGCCAGCTGTCAGACATACGAAGGTGGTTTTGGTGGCGCGCCCGACTTGGAGGCGCACGGTGGCTACACGTTTTGTGGCATCGCCAGCCTGGCGCTGCTGAACGAGGCTGACAAGTGCGACAAGAAGGCGTTGCTCCAGTGGACACTGCGCCGCCAGATGAGCTACGAGGGTGGCTTCCAGGGACGCACCAATAAGCTGGTTGACGGCTGCTACTCGTTTTGGGTTGGCGCCACCATTCCCATCACGCAGGCCACGCTGATCGGTTCATCCAGGGACATGGATCAGACGCTGTTCGATGTTGGAGCGATGCAGGAATACATTTTGCTCTGTTGCCAGAAGCCAAACGGCGGCCTCATCGATAAGCCCGGCAAGTAAGTGGATGGCCCCCCAAAATCCCACTCACAACTATTTCCAGTCTTAAAAACTACTTCGATTTCAGGCCACAAGATCTTTATCACACTTGCTATACGCTGAGTGGAGTTTCGATTGCACAGCACTCGGAATGCGCCCATCAGCCCCAGGTGCTTGGTGACCCTGTGAACAGTCTTTTGCCCACCCATCCGCTCTTTAATATACCACCGAACTCAGTGGCTGATGCCCTCAGATATTTCTCAAATAATTCCAACGCAAAAGATTCGGCTTACAACGAAAGTACCTGAAGAACGCAGTGCTGAACGATGTACATACTTAAATAAACGAAGAGAGATAAAGTGGGCAATCAAATATTTGTAACTTGTACTTGTACACAATACTAAATTTTCTTAATGCAACTGAATTATTTTCGAAAATTATACAAAAGTTCGCTTATTGAATGTTAATGGGTTAGCGGCTCTTTTAAATGTGAAAAGGGTATTTTCAAGCGAATTTGTAGTAGAACAGGTTAAATGCTGTTAAAAGTATTCACTAAAGAAATTCATCCTACCAACAAATATGTACACTTTTATTTATTTAATTTACTATCAACTAAAGACAGTCGACACAAAATAATACAAAAAGTAAAAAATATATTAAGTTAAATTAAAAATAAAATTTCCTATTGAGTTTAAATTAAAAAATATATATATAAATATTTATAGCACGTATGCACAACACTTCTTGATTGCAAATTAATAGCTAAAATTTGTCATATTCAAACTAAAATCACATTCAATATTTTTAAAAAAATGTTTGCACAACTGTTATTATCTCAGCAGTTCTGTTAAATATGGAGTCAAGTTAACAGTGACTGGAGACGGGGTGAATGGCTACGTTCACAGGCGACTGCCAACTGAAGATTTGTATTTTAAATTCACTTGTTGCTTTGGTAGCTGCAGCTTCACATTGAAACTACATGTTTTCCAGTCATCGGCATTTAAAACGCAAGACACCAGCGGAGGGCATTGATCGCCGGGAATATATTGCCCACTTGGTGGATGAATATTACACATCCACAAACGTTGGTTAGCATTTAAAGCACCAACGCCGGCACTATTCTATTAATGATATTGAAATATCTATTGCAGAGGCACTCGAACAGGTTACTGCTAATTTAGCCAATTTCGCCTACGATCCCATCAACTGGGCCCATTTACACGAGGCAGATGCGTTGGACGTGTTTGTGGCTTCGTTAGACACACAGAATCCAAATCTTCAATTGCATTCGATTGCAGCGTTGTGTAATTTTTGCTTGGGTCAGTTTGCAAGATGTGCTACAGTTCTTCCGATTTGTTGTAACTTTCTGTGAAATTGCAGACAAAAACGCCGCCAAATTCATTATAGAAAATATAGCCATAATCCGGGAAGTGCTGCTGCGCAGTGAACACTCTGAAATTGTGCTGCACAGCCTGGCGCTCCACTATCAATTGCCGAGCAGCGGATTGGGCAACAAGGAGTTGCTGGTGACGCCTCCATTACTCAAACGTGTGCAGCACTGGCGACAACAATCGAACGACGAACGCGTTGTTCAACTGTGTCACGTATTTCTCGAGGATTACGGCAGTCGCACCGAAATCACAGAGCTAGGCAATGCTCCTCCTCCAGCTGCGTCGCCAGCTATGCAGCCAAGCTCGAGCGAGAGTGCAGCAGGTGCAGGTGATAAAACGCTTCACACAGCACGATCTTGAGACATTCGCGCAATTCACCGGAGACTACAACTACATACACAGCACGGATATACCAATCGATGAGCGTCGTGTTCATGGTGCCCTATTAAATGCAGTTGTGGCTGGCATTATAGGCACCAAATTGCCAGGACCAGGCACCGTGGTGCTGGAGCAGAACTTCAAATTCCTCAAACCCTGTCGCATTGAGACGGACACCGTGGTGACGGTGCGTCTACTCCAGGCACGCAAAATATCCACTGTGGAGTATGAGTGCCGACAGCACGACGATGTCGTCTTTGCGGGCAATGCCAAATTGTTAACGCGCAAAGAGAGTTAATAAATTCATATATATAATGTTTAGCATATTTTTTTTATTACATCTATTTCTTGGAGGCACGTTTGCCCTCGCCCTTTTTGGGCGGCGCCTTGCCACGCAGCTTGCGCAAGCGTTTCATTTCCTCCTTGAAGTCCTGATGCTCATCACGGAAGAGTCCATATTCGCGCAGATTCTTCATCAGCAGATGCGTTTCCACATGCCGTGGATACCAGTTGACCACATAGTCGCGCTTCTGTATGGGCTCCTCGGCGAACATGCGAACTACCTAAAAGAATATCATTATTGGTATATTTTATTGATGAATATTTCTATGTGCAACCTTCATGGATTTGTCGTTTGTTGTGCGCGCCACTTCGCCAAATATGCGATTCGATAGATAATTCATGCGGCTCGCGTACTGTGTGCCGAGCTTAATAAGCTCACTATATTTGTACGAGGACATTTTAAGTCAGCTCAAGTGTTTTATTTCGAATATTTCCACAAAAGTTAGGGTTATGTCATTCCGCCGACAACACACAACAAGAAGAAGCTGTGCAGCGATAAGACTATATATCGACCACAATCGATTATTTTGCAAGTCGATAATTTCTGTTAACAGCTGTTAATTGAAAAATAACGAGTTCTTTTACGAATATTTTTCTATTCCCTTGCATTTATTTGAACACGGTTGAAATACATCAAATCAACTATTATTTGTTAATGAAAACTAAAAATAACATTAGTTGGAATAACAAAATTGTAGCGACAATTCAATTCTCCCGTACAGGTGACAACATCATAGCAATACTTAACTTTTTGTTTTAATTAAAGTTAAACCGTTTCAATGGTGCCGCGACCTTTGCGTCTGCTTTCCGCAGCTCCATCAACATCATTGCCTATGAATGAAGTCTCCTCCGAGCTCTGGACCGGCAGCACTTCTCTAGCTATGGTCACACCACCATTCAATTGGCTCAAAATGGCATTAGTGCCGATTAAGGACGGTTCCCGCGGCGAACCACTGTGCACCGATAACTGATCAAGGTGCAGCGTCCGAGAAGAGGGCGTCTGCGAACGTGAGGATGGTGAGGGATTACCCGCATTGCTGCGCGAGTGAGGACTGTTATTGCGTGAGTGTGGGAAGTCCTCTAAAGGGATTTCCTCCGACCTATCAGAAGAAGCAGTTAGTCATGTTATAATTGATAATTGAAGATTGACAAGCTATTCGCACCGAGGTCTTGGCATACGTGGACTGCTTTCACGGGATCGATTCCCAGAACTGCGCGCCTGTGAGTGTTCTCTGGACTGCGAAGAGCTGTGGCTGACACCGCTCACACTTGGCGAACGATCGCGATCCCGATCCCGATCCAGTGCAGCACTGTTTGGCCTCAGAGACGATGGTGAAGTAGAGGAGCCTGGGGCATGAGGACTGCGACGACGTGAGCGGCTACCGCTCTCATTTCGTATGCTAAAATAATGTTAGTTTTGTTAGTCTTGCACTAATATTAAATATTGTGGTCGCTCGAAAATTAGAACACTTTGGTTTCTGAGTTTCTGATTATAATTTGTAATTGTACCTTTAATTATAATTTCCGAGGAACACACCATATAATAAGACACTATATTGATAATACTATGTACGATGCATTGACAATTTACCCTTCGAGCGATCGATTTTGCGCCATCTGAGTACGACTGACGCCGGCGGTATTATTGCTGCGGAGTACGGCTGCAAAGCCGGGCACCCGATTCGCCGATAGACTGACGCCCTTTTGAACCAGTCGGACATTGGCTGGATGCGATGAGGTGCCGGCCACCGGATACAGTGGCGAATCCAACTGGCCGGGCAGCTCAATAAGCTGGGCGATCTGATACATTTTCTTCTGGCGCGCCTTGCTCCGTCCCTTCGTCAGCCGCTGCTTGGCCGCCATGCAGCGAATGTGATCGTCGAACAGAAATTTGGCCGAGAGTAACGGCGTCCGATTGTGGGTGACGCCGACGCGATGGACGGTGATGTGCAGGCAGCGTGAATCATCCTTATCGCCCTGCACCTCAACGTCTTGCAAAAATCCGACAAATTTGGCAACGCCCCAACCCAACAGTTTGGCATCGGGCTCCACGAGTATCAGCTGCAGGGCATCGATGACAAGAAATCGCCGCTGCTTGGCATTCTCCTTGGACACAACCGTACAGGCAATCAAATCGCTGTTGTCTACAAAAGATGCATCATTTAAGCAAATGAAAAACTGCAATTTCAAACACACAACTCACTCAGATCGAGCACATTCTCCACCTGTACCAGATTGACGACATTCGTCAACGGCAGAAGCGATTCCTTCTCGTTCAAAAACTTTTGGCACGTGCGACGCAACAAGAAGTAGACGCGTATGGCTCGACGAGCCTTCTCCACTTCGCCGCAGGGCAGACGACGGGTGAAATCGATGCGGGTGAGTGGAGTGCCCGTGGGCGGCAACAGAATTGTCGAGTCATTGCACAGAAACTCCACTCTCAGCTCGGTTTTGTGCATCTCATTGTACTCATCCTCGAACAGATCGAGGAATATATCCTCCGATTTGTAGAAGTTACGCAACACAACCATCGACTGATTGCGTGCACTGAAGAGCAATCCCTGCTGCGCTGGGGTTATGCAATGTGTCTCATCCGCCGTAGGCTTGGTGAAGGTCAACAGCAGCTCCAAGGCAATCTCAACGGTGATCAAACGTATGCGACACGCTGCACACGGATTGAGAGGATTACAATTAATAAACTAAGTCTGTAGGTAATAGAAGACTTCTTCTACTCACATGGTTGACTGGATTGGGTGATAATGTTGAGCAAATGCTCAATTAGCGATGTCTTGTAGCTGAAGGAGCCACGCATCGACTTGGAGAGCACCTGTTCGAACCACTCGCTCTTCATGCCTGTGAATAGATATCGATCGAAGAATTTCGTTAATAACAAAGTTGCACAACTCAAAATATAATAATATGGGTAATGAAACAAGTTACATACCATCTGGTACAGGGTGCCATAATGTTGTTAAGCATATTATTATTATTATTAGTATTATTATTTGTTAACACCACACACAAAAAGCATGGAAATGAGCGGAGAGAGAGAGAGAGATGAGAGAAATACAGAGTTTTAGCCGAGAGCCGAGCAGCTGGTGTGGATGCGTAGCTGTATCACCAAAAATTCGAGCACCGACGAACTCACCTCGATTGTGGGACATGGCGTAGATGAGGCAGAGGGACAACAGCGCCAGATAGTCATTTTCTGTGCAGTCGAGTGACTGCAGCACGGTGTCCAGAAACGGCTTGGCCAGCTGCGGCTCAGCAAATGCCGGCGTTGAAGTCGACTGCTGCAGCCGCTGTTTCTCCTCGTCGGTTATGTTGCGCAGCCGGTTGGCTGCAGCCTCAGCCACAGTTTCAATGTTCTGTCTGCTTGTGGGCGATGATGCTGTTGCTGGCGTTGATTCAACGCCGCTATCCTCGCTGACCGCATCTGCGCTGGAGCTTGCGGTGCCATGTCCAACGACCGTGTCCAGTGTCTGCTCGAGACTCTCGTGTGGCTCCCCAAAGCCAGGCACGACCACCTTTCGATGCTCCACATACGAGTTGAGTATCTCGGCAGCGCCCTCTTTGAACACGCTGTGATCGCCATTCATTATGACCCAGGCCAAGGCATGCACGAGCGGCGCATGTGTGATAACCAGAAATACCAGAGACAACAGATAGAGCGCCACAATTGAGCTGACACGCGGATTATGCATCTCCTGTATGTCGATGTTCACATTGCGATTCAGCACAGCCGCCAGATTTTGGGTAACCACTGCCAGCGATGGTGGCGGTGGCGCCGGCGTCAATGAAAATATATACAAAGGTACGAAAAGCTTGTGCAGCAAATGTTCGGTGAGCACGGCATTCAGATCCGTAATGTCCAGCAGCAGGATGTCACTCAAGTAGTGCAAGTGATCGAGATGCTCGGCAACCAAATTCGAAAGCTTCTGATTCGATTGGTGGCTGCAGGAAGAAGAGAAAAGTATTAGTTATAATAAAAGTAAGGGATCACTTTTGAATCCCGTTGCATCTACTCACTCAATATCTGTGCGCACGCAAGTGTCCAGCTCCAATATGTGCTTGCCAATGAACCAGACCAAGTTGCTGAAATAAGGCGCCGCCGTTCTGCAGGATTATAAATACATTTAAATACATTGTTTCTTTTGTAGGGTTTTTATCCGCTTACTTGTCTCTAATAAAACGCAACATGCTCGCATTTTGCACCTTGTAGACATTCAGAGAGATTGTACGCACAGCTATGCGCACCATCGATTCCGGATGGTTGAAGAACTTAATGGCCTCCGTATAGAGTGGAAAGTCATTCGTGTGCTAAATATGAGAAGACAACAGATTCATTAAAATATTATATTTAATTACGCCCAGAATAAAGCCCACCTCGTTATAGAAAAAGTGTATAGTGTGTGGATTCAACTTGAGGCTTAGCGTCTTTAGGAAGAGTATGTAATAGCCCATGACATCCTCGTCGGAGAAGTCAAACTTGTGCACCATTATGGAATTCACATGGTTATTACTCAGCAAATAATCTGCAAGCAAACAAAATTAAGATTAAATTAGCAACTGGCTAATCGATATTATTAATTACACACAACTGAGCAATATGATAATTTAAGCTATATATTATATATGAATGCGCAGAGTAATTGTTGACGTACACAATGAAGTCTCTTTCCGGATGTTCTCAAAGAGAATGTTGAGGGTCTGCAGCAGTTGGACGCAAACGTAGCTGGAGCCGCCGCTCTTCTGGCGCATTATGTGGAGAAAGTACGCCAACATATTCTTCTCCAAAAAGAAACTGAAAAGCGAAAGCGAATGCAAAGCAATTATATCACAATGAAAATCCCGCAAATACGCCACAAACTCACTCAAAGACCAACGTGTCATGTTGATCGCCCCAGATGAGAATTTCGGCAATGCAGCGCAAGGATTCAACAAGTAGACCGCGATTGCTTTCCGAGACGGTTGTGTTCTTCTCCAAAATGCTGTACAGGTACTTTAGGTGCTCCAATGACAACCGATTCTTGGGGCGGCCACCCCAAGGGCCACCGAACCAGCTACGACTGCGAAACATTGTTATACACACAACACACGCAACTTCAACTGGATGCACTCAATGCTAAATTATATTATAGCATTTGTCTGCCAATTGTTATTTACAGCGTCATAAAAAGAAGCACAAAAGACTTTGCAAATAGGTCATTTGGCACTAGAGCGATCTGCAAATTGCAACTGCAATACTGCTAGTCGCGAATGGCGCACAATAATTAGCGTGCTTCCAAGCGAAACGAAATCAATTTTGTAATTTTTTTAACGAAAAAAAATATTTTCAATTTTCAGTAAATGAATCTGCTTCTTGCGTTTTTGGAGCGACAACAGCAGGCGTCAAAATCAGCTGTTTATCGAACGCGTGGTCGGTCACACTGCTGTTAAAAAAAAAAAAATAGATGCATGTACACACTGGCAACCCAGCTGAGCGGCAACAATTTCCACATGCATTTTACATGTTTTGAACTTTATTCTCAGAATTTCAACAAACATGACAGTAATTGATATTAACTATTATTCTGATTAAAATTAATGGAATACGAGCCGGAATTGGGATCCTGTTGCATTTGAAAATTGGCAGTGGACAAACCAAACGGTTTCAAAATCATATCCCCCAATCCCTTCAGCCCATTCAACATATCCGCCTTCAGCTTCTCGTTGCGCGCATTGATTACGGCGGGCAGGCGAGCTTGAGCCTCTCGCGCCTCACGCTGACCCGGATCGATTTCGTTGACGCGCTTATAATCCGCCAGAGCCTCGTCCGGTCTGTCATCCTGCTCGTAGAGTTTGGCGCGTCTATTAAAAGATTTTCTCATTAATACTTAATTTGATCAAGCTATTTAGAATTCTCAACCTTAATAACGCTCGCACATATTCCGGATACAGGTCGATGGCTTTGGTGCAGTCGTCAATGGCCGATTTGTTGGCCTCCAGTTTCATTTTGGCCGCTGCTCGATTGCCAAAGAGCACAGCACGCTCCTTGCTGTTGCTGGATGGACAAATGTTGAGAGCTTCTGTGTAAATCTCCACGGCACGTGCAGGCTCATCGTTCTTGAAGAGTTCGTTGCCTTCCAGTTTCAATTTGTCCGCCTGCTCTTTGTTGGCAGCCAATTGCTCAGTGCTCATATCTTTTTCCCGCAGCAACAACTCCTCCATGCTCAGCTCTCCGTCGGGCTGCAGCGCTTCTTTTTGATTATCATCGTCCGCTCCATCGTTGCCACCCGGCGCACCCGTCGCTTTCTCCTTCTCATCATCATTGTCATCCTCGAGTCGTAGGTTGGTATTCTTTTCTATTATTTCGTCTATCAATTTATCCTGCTCTGTTGATTTTGTTGTGACTTTGTGTATGGGCGATACGGGCTCACTGAGCGCATCCTGGAAGTCGTCCTCACTGCCCGCCTTCTCTGCCATATTGTTCTCGCCTTGTTCCCAATCACAATTTGTACTCGAAATTTCGTTTGCAATGATTTGTTCTATTGTGCGTCTGCAGATTTATTTATAGTTCGCGTAATGTGGGCACACTGGTGGACGGAGCTGATTGTTGCTCATATTAAATGCAGCAACACTCAACTAGAGGTGGGCATATTTAAATACAATGAAACGATATTTTTTGTGGCACATATCTGCATTTAAATACAATGAAACGTGATTTTTTTTTTTTTTTTGTGTGGCACATATATATATAACATTAATTAATTACTCCCTTAAATCTTTTCTCATTATTATTCTTATCTTGAATAGCATATTATTTTTGCACTTGCAAACTTCGGTCACACTGCGTAAACAACAACATGGTTGGAGTTGAGCACTCGGATAATCCACTTGTTGTGGATATTTCCGCATATATACTGACTGAATATGTGCCTGCCAAGCCATTGGAAAGCAATCTCGAAGTGGTCTTCTCAACCACCGACCAGGTAAGTCTATTAATTGGTCTTTACTGGTCTTACTCCTTACTCAACCATGTTGCAGGCTCTCTCTGAAAAATGTGGTCAGCTGAATTGTGGCGACAACTTAAAATTTCCATTTGCACGTGCCGGCTACGCCCCCACAGCAGTCTACATACAAGATGCCAAGGAGCTGGTGGTCGCCGATGCTGCAACGGAGACGAAACGTGTTGTGGAACTATCGCTAAATATTTCAAGTCTGGGCGAGTTTGACTATGAACCCGGAGACACTGTGGCCATACTGCCCAGCAATGATCCTCATGTTGTGGCGCAATTGTTACACCGCCTGGACATAGTGCAGCAGGCGGACAGCTACTGTCTAGTGAGACTCGCGCTGAACTGCGCCAAGAAGAGCGCCAAAGTGCCCGCTCATCTGCCAACGACATCAGCTAAAACTCCGCGGGAGATCTTGACAGATTGCCTGTCGCTGCATTCAGTGCTACAGAAACAGTTCCTAAGCGCCTTGGCGCGCTGCACCAGCGACTCAAAGGAGCGTGCTTTTCTCGCCAGTCTCTCCTCCAAGCAGGGCACCAACCACTATCAAACACTCATCTTGGAGCGAGGATTGTGTATGCTGGATTTGCTGGAGTTGTGCGCCAGTTGCCAGCCAACGCTGGCTCTGCTTGTCGAGCACTTGCCTCGCCTGTTGCCACGCCCATATTCAATATCGAACAGTCCCTTGGAGTGCTCCAAGCAGATGCTGCGCATCATTTACTCAATACGCACACACAAAGCAGGCGTCACCACCGCCATGTTGGAAGCCAAGATTAAACAGCATGAGGAGCAACTGCAGCAGCCAGTTAAGCTCTTCCTTTATCCACGCATACAGAACGCATTCCGCTATACAGATCAGGAGCTGACTGGCAATCAAATACTGATAGCTGTGGGCACCGGATTGGCTCCATTTCTTGGCTTTCTGGCGCACAAGCAACGTCAGCAGCTGGCCACAGGTGAAACCTGGTTATATGTGGGCGCCAAGACGCCGCAAGCGATGCTCAAGCAGCAGCAGCTGCTCGACTGGCAAGCATCCTCGATCCTACAGCGCTTAAGACTCTGCTATTCGCGTAGCTCGACGCCGGAGGAGCCGAAATATGTGCAACAACTGCTCGAAGAGGATGCTGAACAGCTTGTCGAACTGCTCCTGCAACCATCAACGATTTTGTATGTCTGCGCCGATGGTGCCAAGATATCCAAATCCATTGAGGAAGGCCTGCGTCGCTGCCTGCAGCTCGCCTTACATCTGGACGAGATGGAGGCAGTGCAGCGGCTCAAGGAGCTGCGGACGCAGGGCAAATATCGCGAAGATCTCTGGCTTTAATACAACATTCAATAATTCTGTCATTTGAAATGAATCTTTGCTTTTTAAATAAATATAAATAATTAGCTGGTGCTTGGACAAATTGTGCGCATTTATCTTTTGCAAGATAATTCGAAATCAGCTATTTCTAATGGGAATCCCCATTAATTATATCACTGACTGATGATTCAACAACAACTGAATTGAAAGAGTGATTTGGTCGAATAAGTAAATAACGATATATTTAACAACACAAAATAAAAATTACAGTGCAAACTAAAATAATACATACAATTGTGCGTATAAAATTGTAAATAACCGTTTGGTTAAAATGTGTGCAGTGTCTATTTATTTATAACTAAATATATGCATAATCTTCTCTCACAGCTCGCATCAGCTGTTATTTGTTTAAAATATATATATATATATATAATTGTTTTGTTTTTTGTTTTATCATAAATTGCAAAAAATTATTATAATCATTACAATTAAAATGTGTAATATATGTTTACGACTTAGGTATGCAAGCGAGTGCAACAAAAAAAAAGTATGAAATCTTATTGCATGGAATTTTACACTGTGCAAAACGAAAGCGGACTATGCGTGAAAGGAAAAAAAACGACTCTAACCATTGGATAAAACACATTTTTCGTTAAGTTCCGTTTTGCAGTAAGTTTTTGGATGTACTTATTATTATTATTATTAATATTAATATTATTGGCGTAAGTAATATGCATAATATGTATTTAAACTACATTTAATTGAAATAGCGCCAATTGTGTTTGTATCTATATTATGTATATATATAGATATATATATATGGATGCATGTGTGTATATATCTTTGCTTGTTTTTATAAGTTACGAATACAACGGATTAAGGATTTATCAAAATTTCTTGGATGACATACAGTTTTCTCATAGTTCATTTTGTTTTTCTTTTTTTTTACAATTGCAATAAAAATTGCGTATAAAAAATTTATGCTACCATTTTAAAGACTTAAGTTTCGTTTCGTTTAATTGTTATCATTGCCGTCTTATTTATCATAATCATCTATTATATTTGTTTCTTAAATCGTTTAAATGCGCTTGGGATTATGTATGTTCGGGTATGTCTCCGTTAACTGCCAACTTGGCTCAGAATACTCTTCTATATTCAATATATCCAAAATACTTTGCGTTCGTTGCCCTGCCTAATAATACACTGTCCAATAAGCGATCTAATCAAATAATGCTCTAACTTCTCTTTAAGCTCTAAATTATGCAAAAATGCATTACGTACTTATTTACTGAAAGTATTTTGTTTTGTTTTTTTCTTCTTCTTTTTTCCTTTATAGATAAAATTTAGAACACACTGCAAATGCAAGGCAAGATTAACGAAATAATAATAATTATCGGCTTGAAACTCATCTACATCTCTACTACAAAGAAAAAATGTAAATATTTAAATTTAAAATTGTATCATTAGTTTGACACCCTTGCATTGCATTTACAGTTAATTGGGTTAAAAAAGGACTTTTTAAAAAAATTTAACTATGACCGTTCTTCAGCAGCAGTCGTTGTTCTGAAATCTATGCCGGTCCTTGTGTGTGTGTGTAGGTTGTTAAGTGTAAACGAGTTTGAATAAGAACCGCTCACTACAAAGCTACTGGGTGTATTATAAACAAAAAATTGCTTATTTGTGTATATTTTAAGTAAACTAAGCACATTCGGCACACCGAAGATATGCATACTCTTTCCAGCGCAACGTTACACATTTCTATATATTTTTTCTAAACTGACAGTTCGATCAATTTTTGGAAAGAGTATTCAAATATTTCAACTAAATTGAATGAAAAACAAAGAGGCCAAAACGTAAACTCGACGACTATTTCGGCTAAGGTATACACATACATATTTGGAATTACAATTTTTTTCTTGTTTTGTTTTTCTCTCTCTCATTTATTCCTTTCACTTTATCGTCTCCTATTCCATTCTACTTCACTGCTATTCGTATTTGGCATCTGCGCGAACAATTTCCATGGGAACTACAATTTAGTTATGTGCATGTGAGTGTGTGTGTGTGTGTGTTATACAGGTGTATAACACTCTATTAAGAATTATCAATCAATTATTTTTGACACACACATTACCGTTATGCGCATGTATTTTGTTCAATTAGCATTTATAGTTTGTGCGCTTAGTTTTATGGCATTCAATTCGTTTATGCTTAGCAAAATTTCAGTATCGTCAACTGTACTCTATGGATTATTATGCATTTTCTTTTGTAGCTTTAATCTTATGTTTGTACTAATTTAAATGGAATATAGAACCACGTCAACATTTTCAATTTGTATGTGGGAATATTTGTTGATCTGTAATACGTTGTTTGTTTTTAGTTAATGCTGATAATTTGTAAGATTTGTATTAAGTAACTATTTAACTAGGGAATTTGTTGTTAGTATTTTGCTTCTTGATTGGTTGTCGATTTGTTGTCGATTTGTTGTCGAATTGTTGTCGATTTGCTGCTGTTTCCTTCTCACTGCTGCTAGTTAGTCCTAATGGCACTTGATACACTCATCTCTCATTTCTACTTGTTACATTTAACTCCTTTTGCTCAATTAATTTTTTGTTTGTTTTTTTTTTTTTGGTAATTTACAACAAGTATTGCATGCTTAGTTTCTGTTTTTATCGTTTTGCTCTTTCGCACTTAGAGACTACAGACGAATTTTATGTTGAATTGCATAATGCAGCTTTGATAAAATCGCTTAAATCACATTTATGTATATTTATATACTATGTAAACATTTATCATCATCTAGTCTCGTCTCTTAACAAATACAATAATTATACCATATATATGCATGTATTTTGTGTGTGCGTGTGTGTGTGTGCACAACACAACACACGTTCGTTGAAACATAATTAAACTATTGTATGTTTATCGATAGATATCGTAAGTGTAATTATAATCGTAATCGTAATCGTATTGCATATACCACTTGGATATACACTCAGGGCACAATCAGCCAGTCATATATACTTATACTATATATATATATGTATATATATATATATTATTAATGGATGTAATTGTATGCATGTATGTATATCGTATGTCTCAGGCTAAATAAAAATGGTTGGCAAACAAGTCGAGCAAATCATCGCCCGTCTAATCAACACCAAAACAAACGTTATCATAAAAGCAACTTTCTCAAATCGGCTTCTGCTTTGGTTCTCTGCTTCTGGTTTCTGTTACTTGTCGTCGCTGTTATTGGGCTCTGCTGTTGTGACGTCACTCTGGTTATCCTACAATTTCTACATTATGCTCTGCTCCTTGTTGTTGTTGTCACGTTGGCCTTGTGCTGAAATAAGAGATGAGCTTTTCTGTTATTTCCGTTACACTTGTGCAAACATCGATTATGAATCAGACTTATAATATATACAGTTGCGAAAAAAAAAACAAGAAATTAAGAAAATAAGAAAATAAACAAAACAAAATATTGCAACATTTTTGTGCACTTATAGTTATGAAAATTATAAATAAATAAACGATATCTATAAATTACTACTTTTCCCTTCAAATGATAAAATGAAAACTTAGATATATATGTATATATAATTTAAAAAGAATCCCAGGAGCAGTACCTAACTTTAATTTATAGGCTGACTACTAAACAATATATTCAAAATCAGCATTAGAAAAAATTTCAAAGCTAATCTTTTGTTTTTTCATTCGTAAGAATATCGTAGTGTTACTTTTTATTGCGCAACTTATTTTATTATGACTCATTATAAAACCATTTCTAAAATCACAATATAGTATAGAGCGCACACGTGCCAGAAAAATGTTATCTCGTCGTATGACCAGCAGCATTTCTTGTTCTGTTTCCAGGCTAACAAAAGTACTTAAAAATGGTTTTGTATATATACATATAGATATACATATATACATATTAGTGGACGGAGAAAGAGATTAACAAATCGAATATTTCAACAGAAACAACCAGAATAATGTTTGGATATGCTTTTGTTTGCTTGTTAAACAAATTATTTGTTTTTTTTTTAAGTGCCGCTGTTTAGAATACAGATGTAATTTTTTTTCCTGTGTATGCCACATACTATTGCAAAATAGTCTGCCTGTTATCGGGCACATCAGAACATTGAATATACCTGTAAAGCAGAGGCGTACGTGATATTTTAAGCAATCTGCCGTTAATCAGGAAACTAAAGGTGTAACCAAAACTTATTTAAACTGCTTTGAAAACAAACCGAAATTAGCAAGCTGAATTTCAGGGCATAAATCGACAACTAGAAATTTCCACACAAAGTTTTTGTAGACTTTCAAAACCAAACTTTTAATCTGAGCGTAAATATTTGCAATGTTGTCTGCACAAACACAATTTACTCTCTCTCTCTTTCTCTTTCCCTTTCTCTCTCTCTCTCTCTATCTCTCTGTCTCCTGGCCTATCGAACGGATTAAGAGTAAATAAAGTGAGATGTGCTTTAACAGAGCATGTATACATACACATACATATGCATATACATTTACTCTGTACGCTTGAACTTTATTTCAATTAACATTGTGACCTTTGTAAATTGCGATAAAAGTTGCATAATTTGAAAACACACACATACATACAAACATTCAATAACAAATGACAAGTGTGTACATAAATTTTCTATGAAATGCGACACAAACTTCAGCACCGCAAATAATCGTTTTGCTTGTCTTATCAATTGATTTCTTTTTTTTTTGCTGTTTATAAATGCGATTACAATATTGACTACTGATTAAGTTCGAAAAAAAAAAATGAAATCGAAATACAAACAAACACACACACACAAGCAACACTTGCACTTGTCGGCATGGCGAATGGCAATGGTAAAACAGAGAAGAAGAGGAGACCGGTGCAGTTTAATTGGCCAGTGTTGTACTGTTATTCGGGCACTTGCTCTCTATGCGAATTTCGTCTTTTCTCTGTTCGCCTTTTGCATAATCAACTTCACTGCTCCCCTAACATTTATTATTATTATTATTTTTGTGGGTCCGCTAAGCGCAACAGGTTTGTTTTATTAGCGAGTGTATGGCATGGCATACAAAATACAATACACAAAGAAACGTTGCCTTGTTTATTATTATTCTTATTGTTTTTTTTTTTTTGTTATTGCTATTATTATAGCGATGGGAACGCATCACATACAGCCAATTATCAGCGCAATAATTGTCTATATATGTATGTGTGTACATATGTATGCACATGTATTTATATATGTGCATGTACACATGTGAGTGTGTGTGTGTTCACATTTATCGGCATGTGAAGCGCCCGCGCTAAAGTCACGCTTAAATTTCAATGAAAAAAAAAAAACACCAGCGTCATTTGAGACCGTGTCCCACTCGACTCCCATTGTGTTGTTATATTTATAGTTGTCCAGATAAGACTCGATGCGCTCTTCTCTTCTCGCTACTACTACAGAAATCAAATTTTCCACACAATTTTCCATTGACAAAAATAACATTGCGGAAGTTGGCGCCTAACAATTATTTATTTCGAGTTTCCCATTGCATGTAACATTTTATCGAATTATCGAAATCATACACTCCAAATGCAATCCAATGAACCGGGTACTTACTTGAGTTTAAATGATTCACTTTCTTAAAATTTACTTATATTCCACAGGAAAACTAGCAAGGCACCTATACAAAATGATCTAACTGAATATACCCCTTCATATATATTTCACAGACAGTATATAAGCACAGTTATGTCGGCGCAATTATCTGTAGCTTTTCATGAAAATTAGTACAGAAAGAGCGGCAAAGCAGATGCCTAAAAAAAAAAAAAGAAAAACAGAGCCCTGTCCCAGTTTCAAATGAGAGTGAGAGAGAGAGAGAGGAAAAACATACATTGTATATTAATGCAGAAAAAAATAAGCTCATTGACTTTGTTCGGTTGGCTTGTGTCATATGTGGAGGGCATGTGGAATTGTGGAATGGAATACTGAATAGGTCACCAAAAAAACAAACTAAAACAATGCTATTAATGAAGAATGCCCGGTGTAATCTCTTATACATAATGTTGTTATAAATCCAGCAGAATATGATAATTAATATATACATAGTACATTTATACATTAGTTGGGCCATTTGCGTGATACAAACTTAAGCAAAATGTCGCACAAATGTGATTGCTTAGGCAGCGCCGACGACAGCGGAGACGGCGGCGGGGTGTGGGAAGGTCGCCATGTTTGTTATGAAAAACGAGCTCTCGACACGAAGTTCCCCCCCGAAAATACATTGTGAATGAATCATCTACAATTCCTCGTACAAACAACAACAACAAAATGAGACTACTCATATGGTTCAATAAACGAAACAAAACCAAAACAGAATGAGGAAAAAAAACCAAATCGTAAAACCTTTTTGTGCGGGGCGCACAAGGTGAACTTATTATCAGACGGGCAGGGTGGAGGGAGACGGGCGCCGCCCGACGTTTGAAAATTGAACGCACGAATGGATTGGGTTTAGTCATTCCTCAATTTTAGTTGCTGTTTTTCTTTTGTCTTTTTTTTCGGGTGCTTCGTCTAGGCAAATACAGCTACAACTACAACTACATACATATATGCAATATATACGCATACATATGAATGGCTGCCATTCAATGTCGTTCGCAGAAAAAAGTACGAATTTACATACACACATACGTGCACATAGATACACACACATGTATGTATTTATAGGGCCATATGCAAGGCTTATACGCATATACGCGTGGAATTGAAGTTGTACTTTGGCCCCAGCAGCGCCACTCCCTGCAGCAACTGCAGCAACAGCAGCAGTAGCCGCAGCCGCAGCCGGCAAAAAGACTGCAGAAAACTGGAAATGCATTCCAGTGCTGACAATTCCTCTTTTTTGCCGTCAAACTTAGCTTTCTTTGACAATGTGACAGCATTGTGGGCAGCGGAAGTTTTAGCTTGTTTTTTCTAGACATTTAGTTTTTATATTTCTTTATACTACGTACGCTCGATCTTTTTTTTTGTGATATTGATATGTGAATAATCAGCATATCGGAAGCATTAAATTATGCTTTTTTGCTTTGTTTCTCCAATGAGTTAGCTTTTTTTACTGGCAGCACTGATGCATACAAGGAAAACGTATGTACGTATGCTTCTTCGTATGTGTGTGTGCAGATATGTACATGTGTATTGCACATGTAATTTAAAAGCCCATATTGATTTCCTGCGCTAAATATTTGCAAAATGATTATTCATTGTGCTGCTGCTGCTGTTTCAGTTGTTTGTTGTCATCGTCGTCACTTAAACATTTGGCAGTCACACAAAAGCTCAAAAACAAAAACAACAAAGCTTCCAACTTGGCGTTCAGAAAGTGACACTAAACACACACAAATACACACAGACACAGAGTACACATACAGCTGCTGCTGCTTCCCCTTTTGTGAGTAGCGAACGCAAAACAGAAAGCAAAAGTATTTGCCGCTAATATAAACAAATAAAAAAATAAACAGCCAAAGATCCGGTAGAAAAATGCACGGACTCTCCTCAACTGAGTATGTGTAGGAGTAGGAGTGAAAAAGAGAAGGAGGAGGAAAAGATCGTGTGAGTGAGTGAGTGTGTCTGTCGCATAGTTACAGTAAGTGAGAGCGTAAAAATAGCGCAGCAGCAGCAGATCGTCCGTCTGTGCGCGTCGTCCAGCCAGCGGTCGCAGTCAGCGTCGACCGAAGCCACTGCACAAGCAATTAAATTCAATAAGTGGATGGCGGTGAGTGAAGAAAAAATGCAGACAAACGGAAAGAAAAAGGAAAGACAATAGTGGAGACAACGAGAATTAGTAGTTGCACAGCAACACTGACACTGCGCATAAACATGTACGCTTTGGGGCCAGACAAAGATCGCAGCAGCGTTTTATTTTTTGCGCTTATCAGTCTCAATTTTAAATGCCACAAAAAAAAGTTCTAGGAATTTGATAAAAACAGCAGATATATGTATATACGTATGTGTGTATATGTGAACTGCGCGTTTGCTTTTTGTGCTGCTTGATAAGACAAAAAAGAAGAAAAACGGAGCATTTGTGTAGGTGTTGCTGTCTGCGCTTATGCGCAGTGTGTGAATTGAAGTTTTTTTTTCCCATTTTTTTTCTTCTTTATTATTATGTATGAGTTTTTATTATTATTTATTTTTTTTTTTTTTGGCAGACAAAGCGATATTTCAGAGTCTTTTCTTTGCTGTCCAACAGGAAATGCGAACGAGCGTATTTAATGGCGTTGGTTAGCTTCTGCCTCTTCATACGTAATTGTCGTTGTTGTTGTTATTGCTACACATTTGCATTTACATGTGTGTGCGTGCGTGTGTGCCAGTGTTTATGTGCTACTTTTCAATGGATCTTGCGTTTTCAGCAAAGCGCATTAAAGCTAGCTTTAGTAGAATTCCTCAAGTCGAAGCATTAATGCTCTTTTCATATGCGACACACATGTGATCGATTAATAATCATAATGTCATATTATTTTCATTTTTTTGTGGTATTAACGCAACCACAATTGCAAAAGCCTCTTTGTTGTGCTGTTATACTATCAGACAAAACAAAAAAAAAAGCTGACGAGTCAAACTCTTGCAATAAAACTGAGTCTGTTTTGTCAAATATGTAAACACGTATGTATGTATATATACGAATGTAAAACAAATATATAGCTTAAAGGCGACCTTGATCGAGTTTTATCTGTTTCACAGGTATTAAGACAGCCACTGCTTAGGGCAACTCATTAAATTTTTTGTACAGCGTGTCGCCAACTCTTCCCTTCCATTCCCTTCCCGCTCTCTTACTCCCATTTTTCTTGCCCTTCACTTCAAACCTCTTTTTAGTTTTGTATTTTTTAACTGATGCAAAAGATTGTATTGAAAACCAGTTAATGATGACCAATTTTGATTGTGGTGACGACAACAGCAATTAAATACTAATTTTCGACTATTTATTTTGCTGCTTAAGCAGCTTTGATAACAACAACTGGCGACTTATTTCATTATCACGCAATTTTCAAGAGTTTTGTAATGTTGAACTTTATAGAAAACACAAAGTATCTTTTGCCCTTACTCCTTTTGATTAGGATTTAACTGAAGACTTTAATTTAGTCATAATTAAAATTAAGTCTTTCAAGTTCTTGGTTGTCCACGGAAGTTGTTGATCCTTATACGACCCAGATTCTTTTCACTGCTCTTGTATGTCCAGTTCTGGAATATGGCTCATGTGTGTGGTTTCCCCAATATCTGGTTCATCAATGCAAATTTGTAATCTTTGCAATGTCAAAGACTTCCCCTCCCTAACTAAGAATCGTGTTATCTTTGTAATTCGATTATTAAATGGTGAAATTCGTTTTCCTGAGTTATTGCGCCATATAAATTTTCATTTCCCTCTAGACTCACCAGCCGTCAATTCTTTCCGCTTTCTCTATCTGTAATGATTAAAATAGACTTTATTCCCCTTTTTCTATAATTAAGAACTCAACTTTAAAGATGTCTCCGGTCTCTTTTTCATACTAACTATTTTTTTGTTGGTCTAATTGTCTTTTTTTCATGGGTATTCCCCAATTCATGCAATAAATCTTATAAATATATATATTTTTTAAATAGAAATTTCATTTACTTTTTACTTTTTAAATTTTTTTTATGTCTACTGACTTTAGTTGAAATTAAGTAAATAAATATCTATTTGGTTTAATTCACCAATATTCAAGTCTTTTTTTTTATGAATTGTAGATAGTTATAATTGTGGGTAATAATTGATGTTTTAAGTGCATTTGGGAAATTGAATTATTTATATTTAATGAATAACTGAAGAATTAATAATTGATTTTCTTATCTCGTGGGGTTTACAATCTTTATCGCATGAATGATAACTAATAACTAAAAACTTAGCTTGTACTTACCAATTAACAATGTTATCGGCCGGCGAAGCGATATATATATATATATATATATATAGCCATATAGCCAGAACAGACGACTGATCGATAGAAGATTTACAGTTGTCAGTTGCAAGATTTGTTATGATCGGTGTGTTGCTTGTTGTTGTAGTTCCGAATACACTCTAATGAAAAACTAATCAGCATTTTGTTCCAGTTCCAAATTTATACAATCCAATATACACACAAAATGTGGGTAGGGGTGGGGTGGGTGGTTAAAGGGGGGTAATTTATTGGAAAAGGAGTTGGAAATGGGATGATGGATTGGAAGTTTTTTGTTTTTTTAGATCCGTCCCACATCACATCACGCATAGAGGACTTTGGCCGTCCGATGATGATGGTGATGATGATGTTGATTGGACATTAACTATACATTGCGTCGAAGGACCTTCTTGGCAGCCTTGATGTTGGGCACCAGAGCTTTGACCTCGCTGCAATCGTCAAGGAACGGATGCTTGAGCAGCTCATCAGCTGTCGCCCTACGATCGACCTCCACCTGCAGACACCGATCGAGGAAGTCCTGCAGACTGGGGCTCAACTTGTCCCAGCTCTTGATATCGGGCCGTCCATTCGCCGCGATCAGATAAAGGGCGCGCAGCGGTGTCTCATACAGATACGGCGGCTGTCCGTCGATCATTTCGATGGCCATGATGCCAATCGACCAGATGTCCACCTTTTTGCCGTACTTCTTGCGGGTGACGACCTCGGGTGCCATCCAATACGGTGTGCCGACCATTGTCTGGCGCTTCTCATCGCCCTCGATGTTGGCACAGAAACCAAAGTCGGTCACTTTGACACATCCATCCATGCCGAGGAGAACATTGTCCGACTTGATGTCCCGATGAATGATGCCCTTGGCATGCAGGAAACTAATCGCATAGAGTACCTCCCGGCAGACGCAGGCAATTTGGCGTTCCTTCATCACTGTTTCGGTGACGACATCGGTCAGTGGGCCACCGTCCATATACTCCATTATCACCCAGAGCTGGTCCTCCGGTTCGAGCAGATATGCGTCCAGGAAATTCACCAGATTCTTGTGATTGAAATCCTTGAGCACACGTATTTCGGTGAGTATGAGATCCTTGGACGATTGATTCTTCATCTCGATGGTTTTCACAGCGACCTGCGATTCCGATTGATTATCGCTGGCGATAAAAACAATGCCGGATGCACCTTTGCCCACCTCCTGCGTCGTCTTGTAACGTTCTCGCGGATCGTCTGGGTTGCAAATGGCGCGCAGCTCTTCGTAGATTTCGGCATCGGTTTTCTGAGCACGCTTCTCCTTGGAGCGACGCAATATCGCCTCATCGGGCGCATCGGCATCGTGACCATCGTGGCCGGGACTGCCGGCACCCGGCGCCGCCTTAATGATGATGGTGTCCGTGTTGATCGTTTTGTGATTATCATCATCCAGGGAGCGGAGATCACGTGAGAATTTGTTCGGCATAACGCTCGATGGCTTTGGCTTGATCTGTGGCTTCGGCGGCAATTGATGTGGCGATTTCTTGGGCGGCACAGGTGGCGGCACCAGACCACCATCCCCCGCCGCCTTAATCGGTCTCAGTGTCTCCCGACCCAAATTGGATTCCAGCTCTTTGATCACATCGTTGAGAGCATCCAACGGGATAACAGACTGTTGACTACTATCGTTGAGGCTGCTGCTGTTGCTGTGTCCTGCCGAGCTGCCACAACCGCTGCTGCTGCTCGTCTCGGTGGCCGTTGAACTGCCGCTGCCATCGTCATCCGATGATTTGTCCACATCCTGCGATTTGTGTTTGTTCTTGTAGTTGACATAATTGTCGATCTCCTTGGACTCTTCGTGTATGACATCCTCGGTGATGAAGGGCTTGAACACCTCTTGCTCCTTCTTCTTGATCGAGTAATTGTAATATTTGACCGCATGATATGCTGCATCTGGATTCTTGTCCTGCTCATCGCGAGTAATCTGTGTGTTCATCAGGCGGACCCATGGCGTTGGCAGACCTTCCAGATCGCCCGTCTCTTGGTTGCGTGAGACATGGAAATGCCTTTGGAAATTTGTTGGTCCACTGATCTCGGAGATTTGCTCCTTCTTCTTCCACCACTTGGTAAAACTCATCTTTGTCACGTTCCTTTCTCTCTCTCTCGCACTCGCTCTAGCGCTTTCCACTCTCAATATTCAATACTATTTCTTTGTTTCCAGCGTGAAACACACGTTGGAAATTTCTTCAAATGCGATTTGTTGCGCTCAACAACGGGAATTTCTATTCAAGCGCGGCTTGCTGTTCTTCTGCTTCTTCTTCTTGCTTTTGTTTTGTTGTTGTTGTTGACGTAGGTAACGCTTCGCCTCTCACTCACACTCACACTCACACTCAGAGTTGATAGCACTCACTCACAGGGCCAGCCGTGAGTCATAAAAACATACGCACGCACGTATGCACACGTAGATATATATTTATATATATATTTATGTATGTGTGTGTCTATGCCTTAATGTACGTTCGCTTATCGCTTTTAGTTAAGTTTGCTTGAGCTTTTGCAGACAACGGCGCAGCTAGCAGAAGAAATCCACTTTGCCATTTTAGAATTTTCACTTTTTATTGCCCACTTCTCCGCTTGCTTGCTTAATGCAATTAATTTTCTACTACTATTTAATTTCATACAGTAATCACAACTATTTTTTTTCCTTTTCAATTACAACACCACACACGAAACACTCTCGCACGAAACACTTACACACACACGCACGCACACATTACTTTTCTGGAACGAGACAACAACGGGCACAAAAGGAGTGGCCGTCGTCACAGCAGCGTCTTGTTCTTTCCCTTGCTATTGTTGTTGTTGTTGGGCTGTTGTTTTTTTATATTTTGCTTGTGCCGCATTTAATTTGTTTTTGGTTCTTGACCATTCATGTGTGCCATTTTTTGTTTAGTACACAAGCTTTTTAAATTTTTTTTTGTGTAAATTTGCTGCAGCAGAAGCTTGCTTTGTAAATTGACAACTTCTTTTAACTTTCCTGCTTTACTGCAAGTCGCGCTGCACTCGGCCGTACTGCTATCGCACTCGCACGCACATGAACAAGTGACTGTGTGACCGTAGGCGGCAAATGATAAAATCCTCGATTTTCTACCTAAAATACTTGCTTTGATAACAGAATATTAAATGCAAATTTTATTAATTATTTTAACAGCAAATATAAATTAACTGCAATGCCGAAGGTCGCTGTAATTGTATTTTCATGACTATAAGCCTAAAAATAAGAAATTTATTTTAAGTACTGTAAATACTAGAAATTTTAAAGTAAGTTATTAAAACAAATATATTTAATTGCAATCAGAATGGTTACATTGTTTAATATATTTGATTGCTAATGTCAATTTAAATTCCAAATTACGTAATTTACTTGATTAGATATTGCTACAAAAGAACAAAACAATTAAATATGCAGGTGCAGTGTGGCCGTTTATGTAAATCTACTTGAAAGCATCGATACTCTGCTGCTGTGGATGCGTTCAGCAGCGATACCAAAGTAGCATATCGGCGGTAACGTTTATTTGTAGCAGTATTTCCAATCCGTCGCTGGAATACCTAAACTTATCTCTTAACATTAAACATTTTCAAATCGAAGGCTAATAGATCGAATCCTCTGCATAAATGTCGTCGCCATCCAACGGATCCGAGTGTCGCGGCCGTATGAGCATACGTGATGCTTTCACTAAATATTCGTTGTGTCCGTTGTTGCCCCAAATGATGCTGTGCGCATTTAAATTGGATTGTGCATCCTGGCAGCGATCGAACCACCAGCCACCATAGCACTCATCATTCCCATTACGATCGTAGGCCCGGAAATCCATGCGATTGTGATTGATCAGCGCATCGGACATGCTGCTATTTCCATTGAGTTGGCCAATCACCAATTGATAATTGTAACTTTCGCTGTCCAATCGAAAGAGTTCATATTCGGTCCACAATTGCGTTCCATTCTGAAACTGCAGCTCGATGCGCAGCACGTAATCATCGCGATCCACAATGCGATGTATGAATTCGTTGCCAAACCAAAAGTCTTTCGTAAAATCACCGAATCCCGTGCGATATTCGTTCCAGCTGCGATTGAAGTTGTCCAGCTGGAAATTCCCCACACTGCTGCGTCGCTGTATTATCGTCCAGGCGGGGCCGGCGGTGGCAAAAGCACAGCTACGCTCGTGGAAGTCACGATGCACTTCATTCCATTCGGGTTCCAGCAACTTGTAGACACCATCCACACGCTGCTGCTCATCCAGCTCGGAGCAATCCGCTAAGGCTGGCTGCAAATATGCCGCTTAGGCCAAACAATACTCAACTGCCAGGTGAGTATGTATTACGAATAGTATTCATTCTCCAATTACTCACCCATTTCCAATGGTTTCGTTAAGTTGCTATCATTGGTTGGATCCAATTTGATGGCATCTTCGTTGTGCCGAGTGCTACTTTGGCTACTCTTCACGAGCAGCGCAAGCATTGCATGTACCTCTTCCAGTCTGTTAATGTGCTCGTGCCTCTCATGTTCGCGCTGCCATTTCTTAACATTCTGTTGCATTCTATTCAGCAGTCTGTTGCTGTTGCGCTCAAAGCGATCCATGGCCATATTCCAGCTGGCAGCGAACTGCGTCATGGAATGCCTTCCAGCAAAGGGCGCCTGCTTTGCGTGTGTGAGTGTGATGAGCTTGCTGAGCACTTGATTGAGCTTAAAATCCATGCTTAAAAGCTTGCGCTTTTGTTCATCCTGTGCCCGGCTGATCAGTGTCAGCTTTTGCTGCTGCTTCTGCTGATTCTGCTGCTGCTCCCATGTGGACATTAAGCTCTTTGATTTCTCGGCTCCTGCGTACGTCTGCGCGTCACTATAAAGTGCGACGCTCAATGCGAGCACAAAACTCATGGAAAGCTGTTAGTGTGAGAGAGAGAGAGAGCGAAAAAGTTGGGAAATAGCAGAACCTTTCCATTGGAAGGATCAGCAATCTTTACCAGCATCTCGTTGTTTCCACGCCAAAGTCTCAACTTGAACTGAAATAAATGTTGGACGCAATTTGGTGACAGCAAATGGAAATTTGGTACACCCCACTTGCAACATGTGTTGCAAATTAAACAGGCCTTAGTGATTTATGTTTGTTTTTTTTGTATGGTTTTTTTTAATTACGAATATAGAGTTTTGTGTTTGCTGCTTAGATAGTTATTCTGAATATACACATTTCACTTTTTCAATTAATTAACGGCTCGTACATGAAGTTTGTGAGAGATTAAACACACACAAAAGCCATTTACAACAATCATAGATTAAAAGAAAATGATAATAATAATTAAAAAAATATAAACATTTCATAAAATATCGCATGTATGCATGTATGCATGTGTGTGTGTGTGAGTGTGTGTTTCCAAAGTTAAGATTAAGCTTTACATTTAAGTGTCTATAGTTAGCAACTATTTTTGCTTGTGCTTAAAAGTAGATTAAGAAATTAAAGCGCCTAAACTAACTAAATACATGAATTCATTTGACGTGGCGCATTTTATATATATTAATATATATATATATTTTTTTTGTTTTTGGATATTCATTAATTGTTGGAAAAAGGGGGCAAACAGGCGCAGTAACTTTTAAAACGGCATTAATGTACAGTTGTTTGTTTGGTTTGTGTTGTTGCTGTTACTATTTTTGTTGTTTTTTTGGGGTGCGCAAATACATTTTGAAATCAACATTAACTTTTTCGATTTTTTTGTTTTTCCATTTATATGATCTACTACATAATAACTAGGTTAATATTTATATATATATTTATTTTTTCTTTCTTTAAAAATAACACACTTTCGACTTGTAGCCCAAAGTGAGTTTGTTTTCTCTCAGTGTTGCGTAAACTTTGTGTGTGTGTGTGTTAAACTAATTTAGTATTAATATTATTATCATAAACTTTATCCGTTAGTGTTAGTTTCATACACAAGTATATATATATATATATCCTCTATTATCTCTTATCGCTTAGCTCGTTTATTCCTTTAGTTTTATATTTACATTGAATATTTCAAGAGTTTTGTTTTTATTTAGAACTAAATAACTAAGAAATTGATTAGAAATAACCAGCAATGCTTTTTAAGTTGAGTTTACAAGTTTTGATTTAATTTTTTTTCTTCTTTTTTTTTGTAATTTTTCTTTGAATGTGGGAACTTGCTGCGTTTTAACAATAAACAAAGAAAAAAAAGAAACAACAAAATCGTTAAAAACAAGCTAAAATATGTGGGTGTCTTTCAAGCAATTACTTTTTAAAAATTGACGAATTATTTATAAAAAAAAATGAAATTTATTTCACATGGTGTTGATAGCTTTGGATTCGTTTGGCTGACAGCACTCGTTGCCCTCTGCTTGTTACTCGCTGCTAGCTGATAGCTACTCGCTGCCCGCTGCTAGTTACTCCCTTGCCATTTGATGCTCGCTACTCGCTGCTTGACACTCGCTACTCGCTTCTTGATACTCGCTACTTGAAACTCGTTAGTTGCTGCTTGATACTCGTTACTCGCTGCTTGACACTCGCTACTCGTCGCTGTTTTACATTCGCTTGCGAATGCGCACACCAATGCTGCGCTTCCATTCGGGATCATTGGGATCATCGTCCATGAACGGATCATCCGCCAGTTCCTCCTCGTCGAGCCACCCTGCCTCGCCGATATAAGCATCGATGCTGGCATTGTACAGACTCGTCTCAACGGCCATGCTGGCGGGCTGGTTGTCATCCTCGGGCGGCGCCAGATGATGATGATGATCATCATCCTCCTCCAGCAGCATTTCTTCCTCCTCCTCCTCCTCTTCATCGTCCACTTCCCCCTCATCCTCTGGCGCATAGTCAATGCCATCGTCATAGCCAAGAGCGTCGTCATCGCCATTAATATGTGGCGCTGCTGCCAGTTGCGGCCTTTGGCCACCATTCAATTGGGCCATTGTTGTTGCCGTTGCTCCCGTTTGAGCCAATTTGCTGATGTTTGTGGCTTTAGCTTTGCTGCTGCGTCGACTGCCCGCATTGTTTGAGTGGCCATCGCCGCCATTGGAGGAGGAGACGGATTTGCTCTTGCTGCGCTTGACTGCCGTAGTTGCAATCGTTGTCGTTGCCTGTGGCTCCTGGAGCTGGGCATTCATCTGGGCCAGCAGTCGTTCATTCACCTCTTCGGCGAGCGGAAAGTGCAGCGGCTCAAACGGTGGCGGCTCCAGCGTGAATTGAAGCTGAAAAACCAAGAGAAATTAGGATTAGTTTTTGAAATCAATCTTTTTAATAGGCATTTAAGCAATCTGTATATTTATATGTATATATAGCCAATAATAATTATACAGATGGGATAAAGATGAAATCTTTTAAATACCATTTTTTTAAAAGATTTTTGAAACAAACCATCTTAAAAGGTTTTAACATTTGGGCAAAAATCATTAGCATCAAGATAGCCTTCATAGTCTGATTTCAATATATTATTAATACATATATAGTGATGTTTAAATGTCTGCTGTTGGTAGCCTAAGGTCTGCTAGGGTGTGCAATCTTCGTCGTGTCTAAGACAGTTGAGTTTTCTCGTTTTTAATCTGCTTTTACGACTTATTTATTCCCTTAAAATTATTTATAATACATTTAGTAAAATATAATCTCATGTTTTCGAATCTGTTTGGCAACCAACATTAAAAAAGCGATAAATGATGCTTCATTTAATATTTAAAAAAATTAACTTAACTAAATGAATCACAATTAATAATTTAAAATGCATTATTTTTGAGATGTGCAATTAAAATTAGTTGAATATTTAACTTTTATTAACTATCGGAATACGGATATGTCCATCATATTTTATAGTCAATCGGCAATAAACGCTATAATGGGGACGAAGATAACATCAAAAGTAGTCCATGAGGTACGATCCTAGCATGACCAACTCGGGATAGATAATAGGCTTACCCTAAGATGGGTCCCGGGCCACAAGGATATAGAGGGGAACGAAACGGACAGGATATTCTAGACTAAGAAGTCACCTAACTAAACTAGGTATTTATAACGAACTTTGCTTTAGAAGCCCTCAAACCAGTAAAGATTCTCGTATTCGTGCGGGAACTGGGGTTGATGGAGGAGCTATGGGCTCAGAAGACGGCACAATAGATCGAGTAGGTTGCAGTGCAGGAATCCCAATAATAATAATAAAGGTACATGATTTCGACAGTTTTCCGCATGAACTCTCTAAATACTAATTAAAGCCAAGGAAAAATAGGAAATTGTTGCTTTAGATTTAGCTACAAATCGTAGGAATTGACTCACATCTCTAACATCTGGTGTGGCGCTGCGGCGATCGTGATCCTTCAGCTTGCTGGATGTGGTGCGCCGGCGCTCCTGGCGCTTTGTCGCCGCAGTTGCCGTTAGCACGCTATCCGCCGCAATTGTGTCGAGCGGATGCAGCGCATGATGCAGCATCGTTTGCGCCAGCGGTGAGGGTATGTTTTCGTTGTCAGCGGCGAGCGGTCCAGCTAAATGCGAAGCTGCCGCCGGGGAGGCAGGATCGGGTGTGTTGGCGCCACTCGATCCGGCACGGCTGTCAACACGTCGATTGGAACGCGAACGTTTGCTGTCCGGAAACTTTAGGAGGGTCTCGAAGCGACGTCGCTCCTCGATCAGCGCACGCTGATGTCGCATTATGTACGCCTCATCCGTGATGTCCTCCACCGGCTCATCGTCATCGGCCGAGTTGAGTTTAGTTGCACCCAATTGCAGTTTGGGCCGTTTGCTGGGCGGCTCCAGAATTTCAGCTGCGACTTCTTTTTTTGTGTCCTTGCTGGCAGGAGGAGCAGCAAGAGTTGAGGCAGGAGCAGGCGCAGTTGCAGTTGATGCAGCATTTGCCTTATTTACATTTACATTTACATTATTCACAGGGTTCTTTTTAATTTTGTGCTTTTTGGTTTTGCCATTCAAAGTAGTAGTTAATGGTGGTTTTGTCGGCTGCTGCTGCTGCTGCAGTTGCTCCTTCTGCTCTGGCTTGCCATTGATTAGCCCATTGCTGAGTGGCTGCTCTGCTTTTGCCGGTTGATTGACAGGTTCTGGCAGATCCTTCGGCTTCGGCTTCTGCTTCTTTTTATTCTTTTTGCTTGACTGCTTAATGCCATTGATCTTCGAAGCCTCCTTCATTTCTGTGTTGTTATTTGGCTTGGCAGCATTTTGTGTGGTTGCTGTTGTTGTTGGTGTTAATGTTTCTGCGGGTGTTTGCGAGTTTGCTTCTGCGGTTTTTGGGGGTAGCGTTGCAGGAGGAGGATTTGTTGCTGCTTGCCCTTCCGCACATCCATTGCTCAGCTTTTTAGTGCTCTGCTTTGACGGACTCTCCGATTGTAGCTTCTTCTCATTATCACTGTCTACAATGCGCCACCTGTTTGCAGACATGATTGTTATCTAGACATTTTATAGATGGCAATTTATCAATTGTACTCACTTTGGTGTCGGTATCTCCTTATAGGGCAATAACTCGATGCGGTTCTGCGCCGCCATGCTATGGGGTATCACGATGTTGTCAATGTCGTATTTGGGTCGACTGCGTCGATCTTTTGTGCTGTGAAAGGTGTAAATTTAAATATGAATATTTACATATAAAATGTAATATTTAAATTTAAGATGCGAGAGTTCTTAATTAGAAATCGAAATCGAGGAATAAAGTCTATTGTAATCATTACAGAGTACAGAAAGGGTTCATCAAAGGAATAATTTGTTATACAGCGCTTAAGAGAAAGTGGGAAGAATTCACGGATAAGGTCTAGAGAGAACAGAAAAATTAATAATGACTTTATAACTCAGCGGAATCAATTTCTATTTAAAAATGTAACTATAAAAATAAAACAACGTTTAGCTAGGAAACGAAGGCCAATAAGGAGAAGTCTATGACTGTGTTAAGGAATCCTTTTGCAGAGATTCTAATCTGCTGTGCAGATCATGCACAAGAAATTAATGTTTATCTTGGTATAAGTGCATTAAGTTATTTGTATAAAGGTCACCATATTCCCTTCATTACATATATATAGATATATTTATAATGGTATACCCTTTACTGATTCTCTTGTTTATTTTATATCAAGTGCAAGTTCAGATTTCAATTTATATAAATCAAGTCTATTACAAATAAATGAGTTTGCAAGTCAGATAGGTATATACATAGATAGATATATAAATAGATAGATAGATATTTTAACTTTAGGTTTATTTACATAAATTGATGTAAATCAGGTGAATTTCAAATAAACTGCTTATCAAGCCAGATAGATAAATAGATGAAATATAAATGGGTTACAATTTATAGAACAATTCCTTGACTACACCAGGATAACCCCCGCTGGCACCACAAGCACCACGGACACCACTGGCCACCCACTCACCGTTGTCCGTGCGTTTCGGCGGAGCTACGTCGACTGTTTTGTTGCTGCTGCTGCTGCTGCTCCCACTGGGAGTCGCTGGTGAAGCGACTGTTGCTGTTGTCCCCAACGCTGGCCTGTCGACTGTTGCTCCCACTGCTGCTGCTGTTGTTGTTGTTGATTTTTTTGTGATTGTTATTGTTGATGTTGCTGTTGTTGTTAATGCTGTGTGTTTGTTGTGTGTTTGAGGTTTTCGATTTGCGTGGCTTTTTATTGTTGCTGTTGCCATTGCTGGAGATCAGTGAAGAGTTTCTATTTAGCTGCTGCTGCTGCTGTTGTTGCTGACTTGAATCCGACAACGGAAAAGCAACTGTTGTCGCCGACTGCCTTTTGCTCACTGCTCGTCGTTCCGTTCCACAGAAATTAAGGACATACAGACATATATATATAGAGAGACAGAGAGAGGGAGGAGTGTGCGGCAAACGCACAGCAGAAGTTTGGAAGAAAAACGGATAACAAAAAATAAAACAAATGTTGTTCGTTTCGTTTGTTTTGTTTAGTTTGTTTGTTAGTTTGTTTGTTGATTGGTTGTTGTTGTTGTTGTGTGCGTTGTAACATAAAAGAAATGCGTAAAAAAAAAAGGAAAAAAGAAAAGAAAAAAAAGAAGATGCAAATTGTTGTTGTTTTATGTTAATAATCAATTATCGAATTTATCATGTTTACAATAATTTACTGTTGGCCCCGAGGGGCGTTGTAGTAGGCGTAGTAGAAGAAGTAGAAGTAGTAGCAGTACCAGTACCGTTTCCGCTATCCACCAGTCCAACGATGCCTCCTCCTCCTCCTCTGCTGCTGCTGCTCATGCTGTGATTGTTGTTGTTATTATTATTGTTAATGTTGTTATTATTGTTTTGTATGGTTGTTTTTGTTGTTGATGTTGATGTTTCTTTGCTATTGCTTCGGTTGCTGTTGTTGTTCTTATTATTATTATTGCGCTCCTTGCGTCGCACATAGGCACGACGCTTGACGGGCTCGCCGGTGCCGCCGTTTCGACGACCGCCAGCGCCAGCGCCGCCGCCATTCGAAGCGATCGCTTCGCGTTCCGCCTTCCACACGCCCCTCACAATCGCCTTGGCCTGGCTGCGCATCACCCGATATTGCCAATCCGGCTGACGGCTAATCGCCTCCAAATGCACCGACTGGCAAACATCTGCAAAACGATCACAAATACAATAATCGATAAGTGATGGAAAAAAAAAAAAAAACACCACTCACCATTGGAGAAGCTCAGCACGGGATGATAGCCGGGATCGAGCAGGGCAACACGTATCTGGGGCATCAGCGTTTCGGGCAAGTCGCGCGGCGCCGTCGGATCTGGGCGGCCGGTGCAGAGCGTGCAGGGCACCTGTGGCCATTGGCACCCACATTTGATGTTACTCGGCCTGGCCGCCTTCTTCGATATTGTGTGCATATTCGTCGTTTGGAAGAGCTTGCGCTTACGGAACTCGGACAGCATCAATGGACGCGCTCGACTGCACAGATGATCACCAGCAGATGTTGCTTGTTGATCCCCGTCCATTGGCAGCGACTGCAGTTGCTGTTGTTGCTGCAGCTGCAGCTGCTGCTGTTGCTGATCCTTGTAGCCATTCTTTGGCGCCGGCGTCGATTCGAGCAGCACTTTGCCCTCGGAGCGACACAGATCGTTGTACACATCGTTGTGCTGGCGAATCTTCATGTCCAGATCGCTCACCTGGGTGCACAGCCAGGACCAGCGCAGCGCTATATTGGCACGATCTCGCGAGTAGCGCCAAACAGCTCGTTGCGTTCTAAAAAAAGAAACATCAATATATAAAAATCCATAAATTAAATCGTTGAAAAATTGAATCAATTGTGGACTTTAGCTAATCTTTGTTTAATATATAATTATTCAATTTGTGTTATTGAATTTATCCTACAACTATAATGATATATATGATTATAATATGGATGATTAATTTCGCTAATCTTTGATTAATATTAACTATTCAATTTCTGTTATTGAATGGCAAACTTTACCATAAAACTACAACATTAACACTAAATCAGCAAAAGCAGTTATTATAAAATGGATCATTATTGATTCTTATACTGAGTTATGATAATTGACAACTATTGAAAATATTACTTTAATTACAAGAAGCGAACATGTTGCACCAATCAACACTTCAGTCTGCCAAACAAACAAATTAAATTACTCAAATTTTTTATGTCCATTTTGAATAACATTTAGTTTAAGTTAGGTTAAACGGTTGTCAACCTGCAGGTTGCGCTAGATATGGGGGATCTAGCTCGGATTTCTGCTACACTCGTGTAAAACCTAAGATCAAAGATTAAAGCAGCCAGTTGCGTTTATAAATTTCGCAATCTTAACCAGTCTCATGCTCGCTGGGTAGGGAGTGGCTTGCCAAGGTTGCAAATCGCTTTCTGGCAAAAGAAGTGTTCCGGAGATTCTACTTGCTCCTCATCTGACTAACATTTAGTTGCTATTAACTTAAAATAAGCTAGCATTACCAATGTTAACAACAGATAAGTGGGGATCAACTTACATTGGCAATGACAACTGTTGGGAATTGTTGTAGTTGACCATCTCATCGGCTGATTCGCCGCCAGAGCTCGACTCTGTGGCATCCGAGTCGATGGCATTTTGTACCTCACGCATTTCCGTGTGCAACAGACCCGAGACATGCGTCAACTCGCTGGTCACATAGCTATCAAAATTGGGCACAATTTCATCGGTGCGCGGCATAATCGTCGACGCCGTGGATATGGCTTCGGCGCCGACAGCTGTGCTGCTCCTGTTGGCTGCATCCAGCATTGGCTGTGTCGTCGTTTTGCGTGGCCGCTTGCCCGGCTGTGCGGCGCTGCTGTACCACGACGAAGAAGATGCCAGCGATGCGGAGCCACCACCAATTGTGTGACAGATTTGTTGTTTGCGCGCCGCCGTCTCAATGTGTCGGAGCACGTTGCTCATTTGGCTGGCGGGCAGTGGACGCTTCGAAAGCTCCTCCCAGAAACTGCTGTCCGGCCGGCCAGTGACAGTCGAGAGCACAGCGGCCGCCTGTGGTGTCAGCTTAACACTACTGTGCGCCGTTGGTGCAGCAACATTGGCCGACTTATTTGAGGTGCGTGCCGACCATTCGAGTATGCCGGCCACTTCGTCGCTGGCATGGCGACACATGTGGCGAGCCTGCATTTTGCGCAAGCGTCGCAGCAAAAAGTCCTGTTTGCGCACCAGCTCATGCTGCTGCAACACCAGCTCCGCATGACACTCGTCCCAGGGACGAAGTGGTTTGCTGATGCAGTTGCTGCTGGTGCTGCAGCTGGCTTTTGAATCATCCACAACAGCGACAGCTGCTGCTGCTGCTACGTTTGATGCTGCCCCAGCTACTCCTCCGCTTCCAGTTGTAGTTGTTGGTGTTGTTGTGCAGCCGCCGCCGGCTGCTGCTGCTGTAACGGCGGCCGTCTCCTCCTCGTTGTAGGTGAAATCATTGAAGAAATTAAAATCGATCGTATCCGGATTCACATGATTGCCGTCGAACGTTTTAAGTGCCTTAAGCACCTCCTCAATATCCTGATCCTCCAGCACGGCATTAGCAGCGCCATCTTTCAGAAAATTTATCGAGCTACTCGTGCTCTGCGGCGTTAACAGTGCGTTCGCCTGTCGGCCAACTGTTGAATGCTGTGGTGAGTTGAGTATCTCCGGCTGTTGTAGCAGCTGCAGCTGCTGCTGCTGTTGCTGCTGCCTGATGGGTGTCGTTGGCAGCGTTACGCTTCCAGCTTCCAGAGTTGCCGCGCTTATGTCAACAATGTTGGGGCTGCCATCGAGCTGACTAAGCCGTTCTGTGAATGAAATCATATCATCAATCATCAATCAATATTTATGGTTCGAATATGAAAATAACTAATTTGGTGTTAATTAACATGCGGGAGAACTTCACGGTTTTAGTTGTATTTTATTTATTTATATATTTCATATTTAATAATAATTAAATCAACTTTATGGTTCAAATATGAAGAGAACTAATTGGATTTTAATTAACACAATATTTGCATGTTTCAGTTATATTTAATTTTATTTATTTATTTTTATTTCCTAAAAGGGTTGGACAAAATAAATAATATATAAATATATATACAAAATAAAATTATAGACGAATAATTAAACTAGAATTTCAAATGAAAAAATTAAATTAAATTAAAATAAAAGAAAAAATCGAATCGAAGCAAACAGATACTTCGTAATAGCTTATTCGGAATATTATTATTAATAAATTAGGTAAATAATATATAAAGCAGAATATTTGCAAGCCAGAAAAAATCGATTAGAGCAAACAGCAAATCTAAAACTGATTTAAAATAGGGAGACATAGAATAGAATAACAAGTTAAAAATAAGAGAAACAAAACTAGATAGAATAGAGAATGTGTGGAACTCATTTAAAATAGGTACATAATAGATATCAGATATTATTATTAATAAATTATGCATAATATATACAAAATATACACTTTTGTTTCTATGATTTCTTTGTCAGACCAATTCTCAGTAATATTCGAGCTTAAAGCAAAGCAAGAACAGATATCATATGAATATTGTATTCTTTTAAACTTAGTGATTCCAATATATATGCGGGACTGAGTTGTTGCAGTTGTAGTGTATAAAACAGAAACTAGCATTTTTATATGGCATATGCAAAACTCTGGACCAAACTAGAGGTGCTAGTAACGCCACAATTTAGTCCCGCATTTATTAATTTAATAAATCTATATTTAAGTTAACACAGAGACTATAACTGTAAAGCTGACATTAGATTTTTTTCAAAAAAGAAACAAAAAACGGAAAAACAGATTCGTTTACATTTTCGCCTGGGTCAAAAATAAACAACAAAAACAGAAACTAATTGGAAAAATTGGGAGAGATGCTTACCTTCGATATTATCTGTGATTTCAGCTGTGATTTGAGCCGCCAGCGCCGCGCTGCTCAGGATGTCTGGAAGTGCCTCCTCATCCCCCTGTCCCACCAATTGTTGTAGGGACTCTGACTCTGGCGCTGTCACTGGACTTGGAGTTATTGTTGCTGCTGTTGTTGTTGTTGCTGCTGCTTCGGACTGGGACACTGCTGCGGCTTCAGCGGCTTCTGACATGGATACGTCCGCAACGGGCAACAATTGCTGCTGCAGGATTTGTTGTTGTTCGGTAGCTGAAGTTGGTGTATCGGCGGCTGTTACTGCTGCACCTCCTGGCGGCTGCTCCTTGCTGATGCTCACCTCGGGCAGTGTTTTACGCAGGCAAATCTCAGCTGTGATCGCCTCACCAAAGTCACTTAAATGCGCCAGCAGCTCGGCCGCTGAATTCTCCTTGTTGCAGTTGTTGTTGTGCTCCTCGCTGGCGGCGGCGGCGACGACGACTGCTGGCGCTGCTGAGTCGCTGCAGCTACTAGATGTGGCTGCAGCTGATGTTGTTGTCGCTGCTGCTGCTGCTGCTGCTACCGCTACAGCTGCGTTGCCGTCGCTACTTGAGTGTGTTGTTGCTGTGCTGAGGCCCATTTGAACCTCAGCTGTTTTGAGTTCGCTGCTGATGCTGAGGCTGCTGCTGCTGCTGCTGTGGTTATTATTGTTGTTTGTGGATTTACGCTTGTTGTTGTTGTTGTTATTATTGTTGACTTGCTGCACACTTGGCGAACCCGTGCGCTTTGCCGCCTCCTTGGAGCGTGTCACACGACTCGTTGTTATTTTTGTTGTTGTGTTCGGCGTCGTCGTGGCTGCAGTTGCTGCTGCTGCAGCTGTTGCTGTTGCTGTAACTGTTGCGCTTCCGCTGCCGCCGCTGGTGGGCGCGTCCAGTTTACGAACAGATTGTCGCGTCCCTGTGGCCGGCGAAGCGATGCTCGTTAGCTTCTCCTTGGGATTGAGTGGCTCCGCTGTCAGCGCTGGTGCCATGCTTGTACGGCTCTACTGCGACGGGACCAGCTGCATTACAGGCTCCGGGCTACGTACCACTTTGGCCACTGTAAAAACGCGGATCTCCCGTCTCCAATTGCCAATTTCCAATGTTGTTTCCGGCTTGGCTCGTTTATGCTCGGCGTGAGTGGGTAAATTGGGTGATCGCTTCAAAAAGAGATATGAAATCAATTTTTTCAAAAGTCAATTTGATAATTTATTTTCCGAACTGACACCGAACTGAAACGCACTTTGTTATAGCACAAAAATACAAACAAAAAAACACAGGCACACACACATACACACACACATAAAAAGCTGGGCACGTTTTGTTTGGCCTACTGTGGGGAAATAATATTTTAAAGAGGCGGATAATAACTACAATTAACAACAAAAACTAACATAAGCCGCTGCAGTTATTTTGGTTTGTCTCTTCTTCCTGCTCCTCCTCTTCCTACTCCTACATTGTAACCCATACGAAATCTTTTCCGGCGCCGCTTGTGCGTATGTGTGACGCACACACAAACTCACACGCAGAGACACGCGAGCGTCTATGCGTGCCGCATGTGAGAGCAGAGCAGAGAGAGAGAGAAAGAGAGCGCGCGCGCTATTGCTGCTGCTGCTATTGCTCATTCACAATGATGCGCAATAAAAAAAAAGCTGTATAGAATACGGCCGCTGCTTCGGGCAGTCCGCTTAACAAATGCAAATGAAAAACTACTGACGAAATCTCTGGCAGCGCGCTCGAAAATCCAAATTATTTCGTCACACATTGGTGTTCATAACGTACAGCATAACTGCATTATGGTATACGGATTGCAGTGATGTGCCAAATTACAGTGCGTGGTGGTCGCTTGTTATCCATGTTCTTTACTTTTTTTTATGTAATTTCATTTATTGAATTTTTCATCGTTGGCAATTAAGTACCTCGCGCCTTTACAATATGTGCGCGCACACATCACACAAACAAATAAAACACACACACATACACAACACACACAGAGGGAGAGAGAGACACACATACTCTTACATATGGGTACAGACCCATGCATGAGGCTACTGATTGTATAGTTGTGTTATGTACATACATACATACGCGCGCACACACACATATATATACACACATGTATATATATATATATATATACACGCATAAATATCGTCTAGCACTATTTTCAGTTATTTACACAAAAATTTCATTATTTTTCCGCTCATACCGCAGTTATGGGCACTTACTGAAACGTCTCAAAATTACAAAATATATTAAACAATTTCGCTTTTATCGCAAAACACTGTGTATATGCACACATACATATGTATGTTTTTTTCCGCTTTAGCGAAAAAGTAGTAGAAAACGTTTTCAGCGCGAAAGTAACCAAACTGTGAACTGCACACATACACACGGACATACAGAAGCAAGAAGCACGCAAGAATTTGTAATTGCTTAAAAATTATTACTATTTTATACACACAATTTCAGACGCTTGCACAACGCTCGCAATTATTAAATCTGTCGATTTTTTTGTACGGCGGCGTGGCACGCGCTTGATAAATTTGTCGTTCTTGTTCCACGAAATTTTTTCATTTATATATTTTTTTCATTTGCTGTCTGCTACGCTTTTGGCAAAACGACGTGTATTCGGAGCTGTACTCGTTTCTGTGCTGCCAGACCAAAGTACGCATGCTGGTCATACGCTTGTCTCGCTCGCACCCATGCCGCTTCAAGGGCGATTCCGCATCAGTGTTGCAATGCGTGTAAGTGAGATGTCGTTCTAAATGGTTACTTTAAATCGTTACTTGGTCACAAATGGCAACACCCAAACGTGAATAAGTTACTACATAAAATGCAACTCTGCGTTTCAAATAGTATTATATTTGTTATTGTTCTTGCGGGAATATTGTATATGTAATATAATGTCATTTAATTGAATGGTTCTGCAAAAAATAATATGTATAACGTCAATTTTGCAATTTTAAGTTGAAATATTGTCGTGACACTAGTTGATTTGTCTTATGAAAATATAAAGTGCTCATTTCTATGTATTTTTCTAAGTGTTTTCCAATTTCAGGCAGCTAGTGGAGAAACATCTTTAGACTGACCCGAATGGACCCTACAAGTCATGTCTAAACTAAACTATCCAAACAAGCTCGATTTCCGGACGATAAATAAAATTTTATGTAAGCTACTCAATTAAATAAATAAATGACAAAACAAAAATACATAATGAGTTTTTGGGATTAGGGATCACAAATTGACGGTGCTTGCTTCGTATTATAAATATTTGGGTGTTAGACGAATCAACGTTTGATTGAGAAGTCGTTGAAGTTGTAGTTGCTAATTTCCTTGGTTTCCGTAAATACAGCCTTATCAATTCTTGAGGAGGGACTACCTGTGGTCTGCAACCAATGTTTCCTGCAAACAGTTAGTGTTTTTTTCACACAAAGAACTATTGAAGAATATTAAATGGAGTTGGTCATTACATTTCGTTAAGGGGCGCTAGCGGTGCCTCCAATATACCCTTTACGGTGTCATCTCTGGTATTCATGCACCAGCCACGCACTCCCAGTTGATTGGCCTGCTTCTCTGTGTACTACAATATAGCAAAATGAAGGCCGTTGCAGAAACTCTCGGCTCCCGGATTGAGTAATAATCTATAACTACAACTTACCTTGCGAAAGAAAACACCTGAAAAACAAGAAACAATCAAAGAATGGAAATTCGTAACAAATTAGAAAGGTTTTGCAAATGTGGTTTGCGATCGGTGAAATTTACCTTGCACTCGTCCAAATACCTCAAAGCCGCACGAATATAAGCCTGACATTTCGAGTGTAGACGATTTATCTGCTCTAAGTTGAGTTGATATTGCGAGCACAAATAATATTGTAATTATTTTGAGTACTAAATCTGATTTGTATGAAAACACCATAACGACCGACTAACAGAGCTGCCAGCTTGTCACACTTTCCCAGTATCGCAGTCAGGCGGCAGTGTTGCGTGAGTAGCAACGTAAAATTGACAAAAATTCAACTTTCACCTCAAATTGTTGTATAATTTTAATTACACTTATTGTATATAATATTATCGCGAACTTTGTTTGTTCACAATTGTTTACCCTATAACACCCATAATAAATATTAACTGCAAAATAGCAGTTACTGCGCAGTTCTGTCCAATTTAACCTCCAAAATTTTAAATAAATTAAATGACTTAGTAAATGATACACATGCAATATAATATATTTATTTATATGAAACTTGATCTATTTTAATCGACAACTGGTACGAGTCAACAAAATGCAAATTGTTTTTTTTTTTGTTTGCGCAATAAAAGAAAGAAAATAATGCCAAAGTTAAATTGTTTTATTATTTTACTTTATTAATCACTTGTTAATTTTTGAGTATGCTGGCAACTCTGGTGAACTCCTTGAGAAAAGTGGCCAAACCGAATGAAAAGTTGGTTGGCACTATTCGATCTGATTACGTGGGAATGTAGTCTATCGTTGCTTATATACATACATATATGTATATGGATATATGTGGTTGTTATGTTTAGTGGCTTATTGTTAACGCTATTTTTTTTACTAATTATTAGTTGTTTTAAATAAAAAAATACTATGGCCCAAGCCGCTCCCAGGCAGCTGATATCAAATTCGGTAAAAAATTCGTTTAAGAATGCAAGCCGCGGCATGTTGATTTAATGATTGCGCTTGGCGCATCTGGCCTGCATCTTAGCGGCTTGGATAGTGTTGTGCATCAGCATGGCAACGGTCATGGGACCAACGCCACCTGGCACTGGCGTAATATGTCCAGCAACCTGGCGGACTTCTGCAAAAAAAAAAAAAGCAGAAAAAACCCAATGAGTTTATGATTTAAATTTGGTCTTTGATTTGGCACTCACCATCGAAATCGACGTCACCGACCAGCTTGACCTGGCCCGCCTCGTCCATAACTTTGGTGATGCCCACATCGATGACACAGGCGCCTGGCTTGACCATATCCTTGGTAATTAGACCCGGCTTGCCAACGGCAACAACAATTATGTCAGCGAGGCGGCAATATTTAGCCAGCTCCTTGGGCGGTGTAAAGCGATGACAGATGGTGACGGTGGCGTCCAGCGCTTTGGTCGCATTCCTACCATCCGAGCTCAAGAGAATGGCAAGCGGCAAACTGACATTCTTGGAGCGACCGACGACGACAGCATTGCGTCCAAATGTGGATATATTGCTGCGCTCCAGCATCGTTTTGATGCCGAGCGGCGTAGCCGGCACAATGCCCGTCATGTCGAGGGCCAGACGGCCAATGTTCAGCTCATTGAAGCCATCGACATCCTTATCGACAGAGATGGCATTGCATATGGTGCGCTCATCGATGTGTTCCGGCACCGGCAACTGAACCAGGACACCGTTCACATTGTCATCGCTGTTCTTCTCCTCGATCAGCTGCAGCAGCTCCTCCTGTGTGGTGGCAGCGGGCAACACAATTGTCTCGCTACTCAAGCCCACATCCTTGCAAGCAATCACTTTGTTCTTCACATATCTCTCGCTGGCCGGATCCTCGCCGACAAGGATGGCCGTCAGGTGGGGGGCACGATTGCCAGCGGCGACAAATTGTTGCACCTCCTTGCGCAGATCATCCTGTATATCGGTGGCCATCTGCTTGCCATTGATTATTTGAGCCATGTTACTGTAAAAAGATTAACAACCATATTCAAAGAATTTCGAGTCAAATTAAATTAAATCATCAGTTGAGTGAGTCACTGCGGTTTTTTGTCAATGCCACAAATAAATAAAAATAGAAAGCGAAAAAAAAAACCCAACATAATTTTTGTTCTGGTTCAGGGACTTTATTACTAGCACTGCTCAATTTGAATATGCATTTCAATTGTGGGTATATACTCGGACTCAAAATATATACATGTATATTTCATATATTCCAGTTTTAGTAGATTTTATAAGCTGGTGATTATAAATCAAAGATTATACAGATTATTATGCTCATTATTTGATAAGTACTCAGGTATTTATTACAGTGGAGAGATATATAGATAATATAGTTGTTGATTAGGTGTGTGGTATTAAGGGGTATCTCCACTTCGATCCGTTGCATTATTCCCATTGACATTGATAAGAGAGTATCCTGGGGGGAAATACCTACAGCGATAGTCCGGTGATTCCCCATTGTACAAAATATTTTTAGAACGCAAATGTGATTCACACTTGCTTATGATGGAATTCACATGAAACAAACACACACACACACAGACACACCCACAGACACACCCACACTGACATCTATACTTGGAAAAACAAATCGGGTAATTACCCAGTTCCAGAGATAAAAGTTAACTTTATTAAACATCGCATATTTCTAGGTAATGTACAAAAGAATTGTACTGTATTTATATATATATCTAAAGTTATTAACTATTGCATAATTTGTTCTAGGCATTTAGCATGCCCAACTCTTGTAGCGCTCGAGCAAATGACCTGCACTCCTGATCACTCGACTTGTGGTGTATATATTTCAGCATACCCTCCGAACTGGACCAGAGGAAGACCAGTTGACTGAGCAATGCTTTCTCGGCGAGCTCTTTCCATTTACTCAACGCGGGATTGTGGCTGCTCGGCTCGTTCAGCTGTTTAACCAATTGATCAAATTTATTCTTGTTACTCAGCAATTGTTCCAATTTTATTTTCGGATCTATTGCCGCATCCGCCTGCTTGGCGTGATCTTCATCCTCTTGTTCCGTTTTGAAATCCATATCAATTTCCTCAGTTTTAACTGTCGACAATGAGGATGACGACATCGATGATGTCGGCACATCTAGATTGCTTTCATCGTCATCCTCAGCTGACGAGGAATCCATTTCTTCTTTGACATTCAATGGTATCCAGGTCATCGCGGATTCACCCTTATCGGGATACACCTTCTGCAGCAGCAGTACACAGCTCTCATTGTCCTTGGCCCGTGCCAGCTCCAACGGTGTATAACCAGCCGAATTCTTTGCCATTAGAATATCGGTTAGATTCTGTGCATCCAAAATGAGGACAAGCAACTCAACATTCTGTTCGAGAACGGCCATGTGCAAAGCATTGTTGCCATCGGTTGTGTTGGAGACATTAATGGAACTGCGATCATAATTGATTAGCTTCTTGGCCACATCAGAACTATTCTGTCGTATGGCCATGTGCAGCGGCGTCAAACCATCATCGTTTTTCAGGGACAAATCCAACCGGACACCGTTCGGCGCATTGAAAAAGAAATCAATGCAATTCGTGTGCTTTTCCTTGACGGCCACATGGAGAGCCGTATTGCCAATGTGATTCTGTTGATTGGGATTACAGCCGAGTGACAACAGTGGCCGTATATAATTGGGTCGATCATGCTGGCAGGCGACATGCAATCCACTGTCGCCATCCAAATTTAGAACACTGTGTGCCAGCTCCTGCAGCTTAAAGTATTCGATGACCTTAAATGTTTTGATGGCAAGCTTCAGGTTATCCGTCCGCTGGCTAATCACCTCGTGCAGAAGCGTATCATTGTTCACATTCTTCAAAGCATGGGTCGTGAACAGATTCTGGACTTTGCTGCATGAGTTGGCAAAGTCTTCAGCTGAAATTTTGCCGGCACGTCGATTCGCATCGTAGATTTTAAAGATTTCGGTCAGATAGGTGCTGCTGAGCGAACGATAGTGTGTAATGCCAACATAGTTGGACTGTGTTTGTTCATAACCAAGTCCATCATGCTCCAGGCAGCCAATGTCGGGCACACACAGTTTCTCCAGCTCGGAGGAATTGGGTTCAAGCATTTTACGAAATGATTCCGAATTGAGCAACTGATCCACTGTGAATTCTCGTCCAAATTCCTGACTGATCGTTTGATCGTGCAACGAAACGTTTGCGGCTCCCATTTGTGGCACTGTCTTGGGCAAATCCATCGAATTGTGCAGACTGCCACTGCTGCTGCTGGTGCTACTGGTTAGAGTGGAGCAGGTGCGTCGACGTTTGCGCGAGATGATCGCATCGCGTGGCTTATAGCGGAAGGGCAGCGGTGGAAATGATCGCTCATCGTCCGATGGACGTATTAACTCAATGGAAACGGCCACCTCACGCTCCACATCCTTGTCCTTGTAGGCGGGCGTTTGGCAAACAATCGCATATTGATGATGTACATCGGATTCCCGGAATTTGGCATATGCCTCCCAAACGGTCTCCCCATCGTCGTTCTCCTCGAAGAAACGCACCTTAATGTTCTTCTTGCTGACCTTCTCCACGAGCAAAATGAGCTCATCGTTGCCCATAACACTGCCAGTAGGTTTGCTCAATCTGGTTATGCGCAATTCACCCGTCTGGGCCGATTTGCGGTTATTAATGGGATTGCTAAAGACTGGCGGCGCTATCGGTGTCCACTTCTGATTGTTCTCAATTTTAAAGGCCTCAAAGCACAGACGCACCTGCAAGCAACAGCATTTAAGTTGATTATCTATATAGAGAAAAGCCATCACATAGACATACCTGATTCAGATTCATATCCTTGGCTTCGCGTTCGGTTTCCTGGTGCAGCTCCTGCAGCTGCTTGGTGGACAGTTCGCGTCGTCCCATTTGAAAGACGAGACGATCCTGTTTCTTTTTGAAAAGCTCATCGAATATGTATTTCTTGGCCGTGTGTATGATGCCCATATTGATGAATTGTGCCACGTAGCCGCGCTCTTGAGATACATGCAAATCGTGCGGATCGCAAACATCGCGCTCATCCTTGCGCACCACCAACTGATGCGAATGCGGACTGTCCAGATTCGTTTGGAATAGGCTGCAGCGAATTACCGCCGGACCCGAATAATTGCGCAATATTACCTCTGGAAATGTTTTCGGTGTACGCTTCGAATTGATGCCGTTGAGGGATCCATGTGTTCCGTGCATTTCGCTTTTGTAGCGAAAACGAAACTTTTCCACCGGCTGCTCGGCAATGTGCAGCTGGGCGCAATATTCATTTTTAATGCCACCGGCATCGATTTGATGGAATCCGCCAATTGTTTGCGGTGGTTGCGTCGCATAAAATTGATCCACTGGCATGTGCTGCATGCTGTTGATATTGCCAAACGTTGCGTTGCCATTTAATATGCTCCCAATGCTGGCGGCATTGCCATCGATTTCCATGCAGAGGTTGCCATTTGCCATCATTTGATTTTGATGATACGGTGACCCTCCCAATTGTTGTAGCCGTGGTGAAGGTGAATTCGATAGCGCGGGCAAGTTAAGTTGGGCGAACTCATTCTGCAAATTGAGCGTCTCCGGTGAATGCGATGGCGAAAGAGTCATTGATGTGGGCGAATTATTGCTACTATATCCGCTCGTACTGCAACAATCATTAACATAAGGTATATTCTTGCCCTGATCCAAATCAAAGTATTGCTGCTGTTGATTCATTTTGCTTGCTGTCTTGCAATGGTGAATTTTTTTTTCACGTGCTCTTCCTCTGCTGCTCGTTGTTTTTTGTTTCGTTATTTATTGTGGTTTGCTTTTGCGTCGCTGTTTAGCGCAAAATATTCGACCGTTTCGCTGCTCATCCAAAACGACAATGAAACGATCGTTTCACACTTCGGCTCGAGTACAGCTATTGCGGTTCGTTATAGGTACTTCCCCGATGTTGTCCGACCGCCAGTAATAAGCAAATACATTTATATCTCTATGTATATATACATACACACATATATAGTAAGTAATTATCAGCCACGTCAATGTGACTCATGGGTTATTTTGATCGCGTGTGATTTTTTTCTTTATTCGCAATATGCATCAGTAGGCGACTGCTTCGTTCGCTGAATTTCCAATGTTTACACAACAACACTAATTCGCGAATTGAAATATTTGCATATAAAAACACAAACACAAACAGACAATTGCAGGTTTTATACACGAATAAGAGTTGTGGGCGCCTCGTTCACCAATCAGAACGTCAACTCTCCACTGCACGTACAGAAATGAGCGAACTCAAACGAAAACGCGTAAAATCACCTTAAACTAGCATATACATTAAGCGAAGCAGCGCTGATAACAGGTTTAAGCTCTGTGCTTAAAGCTTTGCTATGGCAACAATAACAAAATAAAAGCCCAATTTCCCAAGCAATGCGCAGGTTTTCACCACAAAAACAAAAAGAGCCAGATTTAAGAAATATAAATTCAACAACGGCTTGCGTTGCCACACTTGGTAATAGTAGTCACTAAGGGAGTGGCAACGCTTGAACAGCTGTTTAATGCTGACGCACGTGCAATATTTTTTCCTATTGATTACAATAAATATAATTTACAAAGTAAACAGTTATAAGCACACACACACAAATATATATATATATATATATATATATATATATATATATATATATATATATATATATATATATATATATATATATATATCTGTCTGAACATACACATGGCAACGGAACGTTTCAGATGCATTCCTTTCTAGGGCCATTTGTTTTTGTTTATTTATGCAACATTTTCAACTTACTGTTTCGATTCAAGTGCAAGTTTTTTCAAGACATAGAAATGGTTGCTAGTTGTATGCAACTGCATTTCTAGTCGAATGCAATGTGGCACAAGAAATGAGCCGAGCAGCCGTCTCCACATTCTGCACACAAGCAGCAAATTTCCAGTAAATAAATTAACAAATGTTCAACGTCTCACAATAATTATATCTATAGTTATTAGAATCGAAACTTGTACTTTTGAATTTATCTTGCAAATTTTTTGCACAAACAACAGAAAGGAAATCAAAAATGTTGAGAATGAGAAACGATATAAAACTGAATGACTTACACAAACACACACACATATGAACATGTACATGAGTAAAAGCACACACACACACATGCTCATATACCTGAGCAAAGGCACACACACACACACACACATGATAGAAAGGCTTTGGGTAGTAAACACAAACATTTCTAATCTGATCTAATAAAGAAATGCACAAGTTGTGAACTTTTTGTATGAGTGTTGTGTGTGTCACACCCAAACAGCTGACGTTATCAGTCTAAGCTTGTTTGCTTATTTTTATTAATGCACATGCAAAACAAATTCGTAGACTTGTTTTGGCTACGTGCAAAATGTAATTCATATATATATATATACATATATATATAAATATGCAGACAATTATATTCACTTCACCTCATTTGTACACCTATTGGCCGCCGTTGGCAAAAATAAGAACTGATCTGCTTATGCGCTAAGAATGAACTGCATTCAATTGGCAATATCAACGAGGGCAACACGTGTTGTAGTCTGCGAGCTTTTTATCCAAAACCGAACATGATGGACGGCAGCCAGAGTGTGAGAGAGGTAGAGAATGATTTTAAAAAAATTCGACAGTTAAAGCTTTAACACTCGTGGCCAGCAGTTAACGCCAAGCAGGAACGATGCACGAGTATTTTTCCAGCTGCTCATTGTTTTTCGCATTTAGCGAATGACGAAATCGGAAAGAGTGATTGCTAATTGCAAAATAAGGCAGTCGCAGTTGTGACGCCAATAAAATCTCCGGGGGATCGATCGATCGGTTGTCTTGAGCTGATAAGCCACCTTAAAATGCACCCCAATCGCAACCCCTTAGCAACGCTTTATGCCATATTTGCTAATATTAAGTAATAATAAAACAACAGCTTAAGCGTCATTATAAGTGATGCTTTTGCTCCCAGGACAGACAACAATGTGTCGATGTGTCGTGATTGAGATTGAGTTGAAAAACATGTTATTTTCGAAGTATATATTGCCTGATAAGCAAGGGAAAGTGTGAGTAAAAAATTTATAAAAACAATGTCAATCGATGGCGCATTATAAGGTAAAGATAACTAAACCTTCAAAGTAGAACATGATTGAAAAGAAATAAAGATTTCACTTAAAAAAAAAGGAAGCAATCGCAGACGTGTTTTAGATTAGATTATTACTCTAATTTTGTTTTGCTGGTCGGTTTAAACTAGTTTAAAAAAAGTTATGTTTGATTATAAATCTAATTTCGTTTTGCGTCGGTTTAAACTGGTTTAAAAGAAGTGCGACAGTAAAAATGTTATAATTAAATCGGTTAATAATCGATGAAAAATAGCACAACTTTTATCTACAGTTTATGTATAAAAAGAAGTCCTTCATATACATTTAAATAGGTTAATACTCTATGGAAAATAGCACAACTTTTATCTACAGTTTATATATAAAAAGAAGACCTTCGATGAAATTTAAATAGGTCAAGACTCAATAAAAATAACATAACTTTTATCGGTACGTTGTAAATAAAAAGAAGACCTTCATTTAAATTTAAATAGGTTAATACCCTATAAAAATGGAGTAACTTTTATCCACAATTTGTATATAAAAAGAAGACCTTCAGTGAAAACTAAATGTAAGAAATAGATGAATACTCCGTAAAAAATGTTATTAAATTATTTTTTAACTGTATAAACTTAAACATAATTGTATGGCACTAAATATTACATTTATTGATGATAGAGTTAAGAAACTTACCTTGTATAACGCATTTTGAGTTGATAATATTGATTTACGGCACACGTTTTTCTTATACTTATAAATGATTATTTTTGGATTGCACTTCAGTGATTTTTATAATTGTTGCACTTGTTCACTTGGTGGGCTTACAATATATATTTAAAATGTGTTGCAGCCGCGCGCTTTTTATAATGCATAATCGGGTATTTTCTAGCACATTCTGTGCAGGTATCGAATGGTATCGATACCTTGGCATGCACACAAGTGGCAACACCAACGCACAACGAAAAAGATACAGGAAAACAAAATACTACGAAAACTTTAGCAAGCGACGAATTGAACTGAAATCAGTTGCAACGCGTGGATTTCCGTGTGAAATGCAGTAAGTGGCAAACTCTCGTATATATAAACATATATATGTAAACAAATTGCAGGTCTTACGACAGCCCCGACCATCCAAACAACTTGCACAAAGCGGAGCAGCGCGCGGTTTTCGCCTATCCGGCGACACATCCTTGGCTGCTCGATGGCATGCCGTGGATGCTAGCGACAACGAATGCCCCACAGCCTGGCGGCGTCATGCAGTTCGGCTCGAATGCCAACTACAATAGCAGCATTGAGGCTGATCCACAATGCGGCAAGTGGCAGCAGAAACGCAAATCTATCGAGCAATTCGCCTCCGCGCTGTAAGTAGTAAACAAAGAGATGTGCGTTTGTGCTATTGTAATTAATATAATTAAATCATCGTTGACAGGCCGACAAAACAGCTGATCACCGAGGAGCGCATAACGGCACATTTCAGTGGCCTGCAAATCTCTGGGGATGCGAACGGTGTTCGCGCTGGTCGCAATGCCAAGAACAATAACAGTGGCACAACGGTGAATGGCGGCCTGGCCACCGATGATATACCATCGACGAGCACCGGTAAAACACATCATCCGAATCCGGCCTATCAAATGGCAGCCATGGAATTGGAACAGAAACTGCGCAATGCGAATCGCATCGTTATCTGTGATGAACTGAAACAGGGCGTCACGAGTCCCAGTGTGGCCAGTGTGGCGTGTGGCGGTGTCATTCCTCCCGAGTGGCTGGTCAAATCGATACCGCGTCCATGCACCGCTCTGGTGCCGTGGCAACCCCCGCCACTCCAACTCCAGCTGGCCAAGGAGGAGGAGCAGTCATCGGCACGGGGGGCACGCAGTGCGGCGGCGGCGGCTGCTGCAGGTGTTGCAGCTGCTGCAACAGTCGACCTCGATGATTATGATGATGAGCTGCAGTTCTTTGATAATAACAATACATGCAATGTAAATTTAAATAAGTCTGATGAGCAAATGGATGAGGACCTGTAGCAGAGGGGAGCAAGCTGATTGATATATGTTTAGTGCTAGTTTTAGAAGCATTTGTGTGTTTATAATTTGATTAATTTTTACAAAGAGTATATATTCTTAATCTATTCATATACATATATATTAGGTGTCCAAATTTCTTTCACCATTTTGAATCACATTAAAAACTAATATGTTAAAATTGTGAGGTAAGTTTTACATTGCAGCAGTCTGGTAATCTTCGCTGCTCGCTTAACAGTAAGTTATTGCTGCAATGCTGCAAGGACAGCTTTTAAACAGTAAATTTTTATTTCATATTTCGGCTTGCAAAATAAATGGCAAAACTGTTCTGTTATCTGGTTTTTGATATTTTTCATATTAAATTTCAATTAAACAGCGTCTTAGAGTTGTGCAGCATATGCTTAACAGTCTGCAAATGCGTAACAGCAGCAGGCGTTAGCGGATTAACATAAATAACACACACAGATGGCATTTGTGCAGCCATCAAGCGACGGTCACACTAACCAGTCGCATTTCGTTTTTCACCAAGTACGGGTGTGTTTTGCGGACGTGTTGCGACGACGTATTAAAAAAAACTTCGATAAGTGCTAAAATGGGTAAAAATATAATCTCTCGTCTCAAACGAACGAATTTTTGCCAAGTGTACAAATTAAATTTCGAGCTGCAGATGCGTTACAATTGCACAAATTGTGTCGGCGCTTTTAATAGATTTAATTAATTATGAGCCACATATGTGGCTATATATATATATATATATATATATATATATATATGTATGGCATATGCATATGTGTGTCTACGGCCGGATCGTTGTATATATGAATATATATATATAGATATGTATCTATGTGTATACCTGTCCAATATATACACGCATATTAATTATAATTAAAATTCATTTCGACGCGTTAACCAAATGAGTGTAATTTGGTAATGCTAACCGCACAAAATCAAATAAATAAATAAACTCTGCCTAACCAAAACGACAGTGTCGGCTTCGTCGTCGTCAGCTAGTTTCTCAGTCGCAGTCGCTGTGTCAGTCGCGTGGTGACGCTTCCACTCACAGAACGAACGAATGATCAAAAAAGACCAAAAGGCAGAGTCACCACTAACAATAACAACAATACGAAAAAAAAAAAAAGAAAAATAAACAGCCAGCTAGCAGAAAAGCGAAAAAGTCGTTGCTATCAGAGAGCAAATGCTCAAGTGCAAATTTAGAATATTTATTACAAGTTCATGGGAAATGTGAAATAACAAGATACGCAGTGTGTGGGCATGTGTGTGTGTATGAGGGGCAAATATGATATGTGAGCTTTTGTATTGCTGCTGTCGATTGACGAAATATGTTCGTTAAATGTATGTAAATGCCAAATGCAAGCAACCCACTAGCAGCACAAAACATAATTTGATGCCAGCGACACGCACGCAGGCAGCAGGCAGGCAGGTATCCGAGCCCAACGCTGCGCTGCGACTGATGAACACACCACGAATTTATTTTTTCTTCATGTTGACCTGTGAAATAATAGCAGCAGCAGCAGTGGCGTAGCTGCACACACAACACGTGGGCGCTAAACGAAAACCCCAACGAAATTAAAGCCGAGCCCCTGACGTAGCAACACAGAAGTAGGCAGGCAGATAGTCAGAAGCGTGGTGAATTTTACACATAATAACAAAAGCCCACTGTGTTGAGTTCGCTCGCAATCGACTTGTTCTGTTTGTGGCTAGGCTCTGTCGTCTGTTCGCTGACTCAGTCGGTTCAGTCGTCTACGTCGTGTGTGGGAGTGAGCAACAGACAAAACGCGTGCAAGCCGAACGCATCGCTGCGCCCAAGTGCCCGTAACTTTGCGTGCGTGTGTATGTGTTTGTGTGAGTGTATTTTCGCCCTGCTCAATTTGTATGAAGTAATAAACGCTGTCTGCAATTAGTATTTTAGTGCGTGCTAAACTAAAATAAGAAAAAGAGTTAAATAAAAAAAAAAAACAATAACAATAACAAACAAGTGCATTGTCTTCATGTTTTTTAGTGCATCAGTTTCAGTTTGTTTTTCTCTCTAGCTTACTCTCTCTCTCTCTCTCTCTCTCTCTCTCTGATTACAGCAAGTAATTAAAAGTGAAAAGTGGCAAAGTGAAGAAGAGCAGCAACAACAACAGCAAGGAGAAGAACAACAACAACGTCAGCAAACCGCAAGCAGGCGCTGATTAGGGAACGAGGCGTACAAAAAAAGAGTGTTAGAGGAGTTTTTTTTTTATAAAAAAAAGTACAAGTGCAAATATATAAGATAAAACGATTTTGTGGCGATGTCCACCGCCGAAACGGGGTCGTCGCCTGGCAAAAGCAACACCAACAGCAACAATAGCAGCAGCAACAGCAACAGCGTCCCTGCGAAAGGTGTGCAGCGCCGACAATTGGTGAGTAGCTGAACTATCATTTAACACAAACAAAAACCTCCAATACACAATACAAATAAGAACTTCATGTAACATGGATTGATGGCGGCGCTGTTGGGCTTGTAGTAAACTGTTGTCGTCATTGTGTGATTGGCAAAGCGTAAATCATCATTAGCAATCTATATAAATAAATGCACGTTCACACTCTCTCTCACACGGACACATTCGCTCTCGCTCTCTCTCTCTCTCTATCAAGCTCAAGTTCTGCCAGTGCTCCTCTCCCACAAAGCAAGCACAAAAATAGAGAGAGAGCGCGCGATTGAGAGAGGCCGTGCAGGCGGCACTGCGCCCGTTGAGCACTGAAGCTCAACTGATGCCGCCGCATGACCAAAAACAGTTTTCTTTGCCATTTTGTTTGTTTGTTGTTGGCTGTCGTCGTTCGCATTTCGTTTTCAATTTGGTTTAGTTTTTTATTCTTTTTTCTTGTTGGCTTGATTGTGTGCGTGTTGTTTTTCTGGTATCGTCGCTGTAGATAACAGAGCCGTAGCATATTTACATATTCTTCGTACGGACGGTCACACTACATTTCTAGTGTGATTATTTGAGTACTTCTTTGTGTGTGCTTTGAGCTAATTCTCTTTCCCTCTCTCTCGCTCTGTTGCTCTGTTTGCTTGTGCATTTGATTAGCACCAAATTGGGACAGCAGCTGTTGCTGTTGCTGCTGCTGCCGCTGCTCGTTGGCCAGGCCAATAATAATAACGACAACAACAACAACAGCTTCCTTCTCATTCGTCTGCCACCGCCTCTGGCAATGTCATCTAAATTCATGAATATTTCAGTTGGCATATAAAACATTGTACATTGTACATTTTAAATGTGTCTTTGCTGCGAGGTTGCGTGGCTGTTTTCTTTTGTGGCAGGAAACCCGCTTTTCTGTTTTGTTCTTGGATTTGTTTAGAGATGAACAAGATACTATTTACTTATTGAACATTATCTTTTAAATTTATATGCAATAAAACTTTTACTTGATGGTGCAATTTTGTATTAAAATTCATTAAAGCTTAATGTTTTCTTATTTAATTTTTTTATTTGTGAATTTTCGTGCAATATATTATCTAATAATTACTAATTATATTCGATATTTATTTATTGATACTTTTGATATACATATTCATGTGCTCATGTAAAATCAGAAATTTCAAAGAATTTTGCAGACTTTACAACATTTAAATACGATAAATATATTTGAATTAAAAAAAATAAATCAGTAAAAAGCACGACTTCGATACCATCTCTAAACGAGCTTTAGTTTCAACATTTTGTGGCTTATGAAAAATTTATAACAATAGTGACTAACCCAATCCAATCCCAGCCGAGCACATGCCGCTTGCTATTAACGCACACTTATTGCTGCTTGTGTGTGTGTGTGAGTAGTGTTGGCATCTGTGTGTGTGTGTATGTGTGTGTGTGTGTAGATAGCCGTCAGCAATTCCGTTGTGTTGCGTCTCTGCTGGGGGGTGACCCTCTTCCTCTACTCTCCCCTCCCTCCTCCCCGCTCATGTGACAGTGGCGTCCGTTCGCAATTAGCACCTTAATAGAATACATTAAGTGAGCCCAAACACAGCAATCTGGCAGCCGGTTAGCGTTACGCGTGGTGACGCCACACTCACCACACACACGCACACACATACAACAAATACAAGAACAACAACAAGACGAACCACTTGTCCAACGTCTTATGCTCTCACACACACACACATATATATATACAGACACACATACATTTACGCACTTTTATGCTGCGTTGTCGTTTTTTTTTTAATTTTTCTACCTGTCGATTGTCCCCTGGCGTTGCCAGACGTCTTGCAGCCAAAACAGCTTTTTTACTGTCTGACAAAAACAACAACAGCAACAACAAAAGTAACAACTGAAAAATCGTTTAGAACACGCCAAACAAGTTTCTGCATTTTGTTGTGGAGCATGGCGATCGCAGGCGGGTGGCGGACAGCAAGTCGCTTAAAAAGGATATTAAAAAAAGTGCACACAAAGATATGCTGCAACCAAATGAGGACAGCCCCACAAAACAAAAGTAAAGACACACACACACACACAGATAGAACGTTTATAGATTTTTCGATACAAGTCCACCACAGCTGAGATTTACAGCGCCTGCTAGAAATGCAAAAATAACTCGAAGCCGCAGCCAAATATATATATACACACATATATATATATATATATACATACACATACACCTATACATACACTCACAGTCGCCTCTATTTGTTGTTGGTGTTGTTCTTGATGGAGCTGGTACAAAACGCAACAGTCGTTTTGGCTACCACCCGCCAGCCGGCGCTGCAGCATATTCCATAAATACACATACGAAACACACGTACACACATGCATATATGCATACACATGCAAAATTATTTAAAGTGCAAGGCCGGTGCATGCGCACAGAAAGGAGACAGCAACAGGAGCTGAGACAGCCGCTGCCGCTGCCGTTATCCATTGCCCTTTACAAAAGTGCATGAAAAGCACTGCCACTGCCTGCCCTCTTCAATTGCAGTCCAGCGCCGGGTGGGTTTTTAGCTTAGCTTTTGCCGCCGAAACTGCCAGAAAAATACGACCAAGAGATGAAAGTGGCAGCGGCTGCAGTAGCAGCAGCAGCAGCAGCGCATCAGCTTCCTTTCAGTGCGTCGCCAACAGAGGCGAGCAGACGAATGAAAACGAAATGACAAAAACGGCGAATTTTAAACGAGTGGGGCGAGCCCCATTCGGCTCTTCTAAAGGTGCACGACAGCGAGAGAGTGTAGAAGAGCAAGAGAACGTTGCTGTGGTGTGGTGAATAGAGCGAACGTTCGCTGCTCTGGTAAAAGAGGAGCAACTGTGATTCATTTGATAGCATCAGCAAGTGTAGCAACATCATCAGTGCTAGTGGCAGCGGTAGCGGCAGTGACAGCAACTGTAGCGTTGACAGCGGAACAGGCAGCAACAGCGCTGTTGACGCCGCCCTCTGCGTATTTTTTTTAAGGCATCTATTTGCTCTTCCCGCATAGGTATTTATTAATGTGTTCCGTTTTCTCTCTCTCTCTCTCTCTCTCTTTCTTGTTTTCTCTATGTTACAGCGCGAGCGCAAGCAGCGCAAACTTTACCTTGAGGAATGCTTAATGGGCGATGATGATGCGGAAGGCGCGCGCGGCTTCAGCGTCGCCGAAAAGCTCGAGTCCTCCAAGTTTGCGCAGGCAGGCATGGTGCGAGAGATGAATGGCAGCGATCTGACAGTCGCGTAAGTAAAATTAAATTCAATTAATTAAAACGCCCAAATGTTAAAAACATTGATAATGATATTTTTTTTAACGATTACTAAGATTTCTCTAGATATAAAGCCCTCATAACTAGTTACGGATCAATTTTTAAATATTTGTCCAAAAATATTCCTATGATTATATTCCGTTTAATTTTGGTCATTAATTTTGGTCATTAATTTTGGTCATTAATTTTCCTCTAGTTTCTCGAATATTTCTTGGAAAAATATTTCGCCATCTGAGATTAAAATTTGCCCAAAAAAAGCTTTGAATTTTAATTGTAAATCATTAAATATGAAAAAATGTAGAACTATTCAATTTCTTATCTTAACTTGATTATTATTTTTATTCTACAATTATAGAATATTTGTCGAGAAATATGCCTTTATTTGAGATTAAAATTGGTTAAACATTCTTTAAAATGAAATTATAAATGGAAAAATGCAAAACTATTCGATTTGTTATCTTATCTGTATGCTGTGAAGAATATATATTCTGTATATTTGCGATCATTTTGTCGAATTTGTTAAAAATAACTTTTAATTATTTTGTTAATTCTTACCATTTGCCATCTGCATATTCTAAAGAATATATTCCGGTTATTCTTTCCTTGTCCATGTAGTTTCCTGCAGCAGCATGGCTTCAATATACCGCTGTTGTTTAGGGATAAGACTGGACTGGGACTGCGGATGCCAGACGCCCAGGAGTTCACGGTGAACGATGTGCGATTGTGTGTGGGATCACGACGACTGCTGGACGTGATGGATGTAAATACGCAGAAGAATCTGCAGATGACAATGAAGGAGTGGCAACAGTACTACGACAGTCCGCAAAAGGAACAACTGTTGAACGTCATCTCGCTGGAGTTCTCGCACACCCGTCTCGATCACTTTGTGCAGAGTCCGGAGATAGTGCGCCAGATCGACTGGGTGGATGTGGTGTGGCCCAAGCAGCTGAAGGATGCCCAAAAGGAGGGCACCAATCTTCTTGGGGGCATGATGTATCCCAAGGTGCAAAAGTATTGTCTGATGTCCGTTAAAAATTGCTATACAGATTTCCATATTGATTTCGGCGGCACCTCCGTCTGGTATCACATACTCAAGGGCAGCAAAGTGTTTTGGTTGATTCCGCCCACCGATCGCAATCTGCATCTGTACGAGAAATGGGTGCTGTCCGGCAAACAGGCGGACATCTTCTTTGGCGATACGGTTGAGAAGTGCGCACGTGTCTATCTGACGGCGGGCAATACATTCTTTATACCCACCGGCTGGATACATGCCGTCTATACGCCCACCCAATCCCTTGTCTTTGGCGGCAATTTTCTGCACTCCTTTGGCATTGTTAAGCAGCTGAAAACGGCCAGCGTTGAGGATAATACGAAAGTCCCTCAAAAGTTTCGCTATCCGTTCTTCACGGAAATGTTGTGGTATGTCCTGGCCCGGTATGTCTACACCCTGCTCGGACACTCCCATCTGCAGGGTGAGCCGTCGGCGAGTGAGGCTGAAATGGCGGCTCGTCCGCACACGCATCTGACACACTATGAACTGTTTGGGTTGAAGGAGATCGTGATGTATCTGTACGATCTGCCGCCGCAGAAGAAGAATGTGCCCAGTTTGGTGCTGGATCCGGTTGCCCTCATCAAGGATGTGCGCACCCTTGTCGAACGCCACTGCAAGGATCAACAGGATATGGCTGTCACTGGCATGTCCGTACTGCGACCAGCCACAGATCAGCCCGCTATCAATTTTCAATTGTACGATCGGACGCGTGTCAAGCAGGAGATCAAGCAGGAGATTGTACGCAAAAATGCTGAGGTCATCAGGGAGCAACAGGAACTCGAGGCGGCCAGGGGTGCCGAGACAGCAGAAGCCCAGGCCGGCGTCGGCAATCACAGCAACAACAACAACAACAACAACAACACCAACGGTTGCAACAACTCCAGCAGCAGCAGTGGCAGCAATAGCAACAACAACATCATCAACAATAGCTACAGCAGCCAGGGCATTGAGTACAGCAATGGTGTCCTCAAGAAGGAACAGATCGAGAATGGCACAAACCTTGGCCATGGCACGCAGCCAGGTAATAATAATAATTTAGTTTCATTAATAATAATTAAATAATTTGGGTTCCCATTTCGATGCTGGTACGCAAAGTTGAAAAACCCGTAGAGATTTAAGTATACTTTCGATGTTTTTTACGATTGTCCGGTTACATATTAGTTTGAAATTATAAGTGTGAACGTTTCCAGGTGGGTGTAACTGACTGCCAACTACTCTGTAAATCAGAAGAAGGCTCATTGCAAAAAACAGACAAATATATTAAATATAGCTCGATTTGTATTTTAAATTTATTATGAGATTCAGGTGTCATTGTTCTCCATGGGTCTTTTAGGCAGAAGGAAGCTTCTACAACCCCAATAACTATATATGCTCTTAATCAGTCAGTCCAAGATGTCCAAGTTAACACATGAAGTCAAGTCAGTCCACGAAGTCCAGTCAGTCCGAGAAATACAATCCAATCGCTCCAAGATGTCCATGCAATTTACAGAAGTTCAAGAAGAAATACACCAGAAACACAATTCTGAATATTTTGTCAGAATTTGTTTTTTGTTTACATGTCAACAATATTTTCAAATGTTGCTAGATTAAAAGTAATGGAAAATATACGAGGGCTAGCTGACAATTGTTTTTACAGTTAATGTTCCGTAGTGAACACAACTGAAAAGGTATATATGTTCTTAATCAGGATCAAAGGACGAATATAAGTCTGTCTCTATAAGAAACTAAAGTCTTCAAATAGGGAATATAAGTTCTCGTACACACACCTAACAAGATCGATTATAATGAGAGCCTCAATGATATTTTGGTTCCAATACTGTCTTCGGGACAAATAATATCAGTTCCGGATTTAAAAAAAAATTGCTGAATTCAGCTTTTGATTCTAATTCCGATTCCCATTCTAATATTCAATCGGGAGACAGGCGATTTCGATTCACTGATCATAAGTATATATAGTTACTAGAGTTATTGAAATATTATTATGAAATATTTATTGATAACAATCTTATCTAAAGAATAAACTGTCTTTTAAAAACGAACCCAAAATCATTAATCAAACCACAACTCAGCTTCATTTGAAAAGTGCATTTTTTAATCAAATATCATTTGCTGAGAATTAAACATTGGATTACCTCTAAAAGAGAAGAACTGCAAGCACTTCGTGGAACTGTCCATTATAATAGAACTATTCATTATCAAATTTTTCACTGTACTTTTCATTTGTTAGTCAAACTTTTAGCTTTACTTAAACTGGATTAATTTTGCAACAATAAATATTTATCTTTTCTATTAAATTGACATAATTAATTAATTTATTATATCACTACACATATATTCCAGAAGCCACCTTTGTGCTGCCCACGGACACACTCAAGTATCGTCCGCCCAAGAAGATGCACTTGGCCAACGCTGTGGCAGCTGCCGCCAGCAGCAACAACAACAACAGCAGCAATAATAACAACAGCAATAGCCTCAATCATAGCAGCAACAGTCCCACAAATATTGGCAACAACAGCAGCAACGCTGTCAGTGTGATTGCCACCTGCTCGAGTTATGTGGATGGCGCCGGGAGTGGAGGTGGCATGGGTGCACCGCTTGACAACTGCCACTCGCCGGGTGGTGGTGGCGAGATTGGTGCAAAGCTGTCGCCGCATTTGACGGGCACCGGACAGCCGAGGCGACGGCGTACGCGTTGCAAGAATTGCGCTGCATGCCAGCGTTCCGATTGTGGCACGTGCCCCTTCTGCATGGACATGGTCAAGTTTGGGGGACCGGGTCGGGCCAAACAGACGTGCATGATGCGACAGTGTTTGTCGCCAATGCTGCCGGTGACGGCACAATGCGTCTATTGTCATTTGGATGGCTGGCGCCAGGCGCCAGTGTCGCCGCAAACCAAGCAACTTGCCTCCGTTGAGGGCCCCTCCGCGCTGATGGAGTGCTCCGTTTGCTATGAGATCGCTCATCCGGACTGTGCCCTGTCGCAGCTCGATGGCACTGTGGATGCCGCCGATGCCAAAGGCATTGTCAACGAGGATCTCCCCAATAGCTGGGAGTGTCCCAGTTGCTGTCGATCTGGCAAAAATTACGACTACAAAGTGAGTGAAAGACGAGACTGCATTGCAATGTTAAATCTTGAATGACTGATAATGTTAGACTTTGTCTGTTAACCTTAGTTTAACAGTGTATTTACATTACATTTAAATGTAATTGATCTTTGAAGTGTTCATTTAAAGCTTAATTTGGTTTGATAAACATGATTTTTTGTTAAGTAATTTAGATATTTTTCTTTTGCCTTTGTCAAACAACTTTAATTGCTAATCCGACAAGTTCTTAATATTCACTTTAAATGGCTTGTTTGGTCAAAATTTTCCATAAATTGATTGTACAATTTTGAATTTTAGTAACGGAAAATCCTAAATATGTAATACAAATATCATATCAGGCTGTTAATGAGATAACAGGTGCTTAACTAACATGCGAATGTTAATAACAGTACCGCTTTCCAAGACACGCTTGAAATCGTGTTTATTTTTTTTTTAACTCTTTTATTAATGGCAAATTTCAGAAATTGAATAATTAGATCAGATTACACCAAACTATTTGACTTTGAACTTATTTATCTGAAATATTTGTCATATTAAAATTTCAACTGCTAAACATAACTTGCAAATGTTAGTAACAGTACTGCCTTCATTCACTGTCAACTGCATATAGGTGTTAATAACAGTACTGTAAATGCACACAAACTTTCAAACAGCTGTTTAACATAACACATTTATTTCCGCTCAGCTGCTTAACATATGCAGCGAATGCTCTTTAGGTTGAATAACATTGTATGTAAACAGGCTCTAAATTATTATTATTATTATTATTCCCTAAGGTTGTTATTATATTAATTGCCTTTTGTAATTAAATTGCAGCCACGCCATTTTCGCGCACGCCAAAAGTCATCGGAGGTGCGACGCGTTTCAGTTTCGCACAGCAACAATGCTGGCGAAGGCCACGAGTCTGCTGGCGGCATGGGAGGAGGAGGAGCGGGTGGAGCAGCTGGAGGTGGTGGCAATTTGTTGGCGCCACCAGTGGGCCAATACAATGATTTTGTGTTTACCAGCGAATCGGAAATGGAAACGGGCAGCGGCAACAGCAGCCAAATGTTGCATACAACACACTGGAAGCACGGCATGAAGCGACACCATCAGCTGGAGGTGAAGACGGAGCGGAACAACAGCAGCGCATGTGAGACCCCATCACCGGGCATATCGCCAAATGCCCAACATCTGCTCGCCCTGGGCGAGAAGGCGATGAAGCGACGCAAAAGCGATGACGGCACCAGCGTCAGCAGCAGCATCCACGATGGCAACGATGCGCCCGGCTCCACTTCGATGGATGCGGCCAACCATACGACGCAGTCGGGGCACAGTGCTGGAGGAGGCAACGTTGGTGGAGGTGGAGGTGGCTCTGGTGGTGGAGGCGGTGGTTCACGCAAGAAGAATTCGATACGCTCACAGTTGGCACAGCAAATGTTGAACTCGTCGACGCGTGTGCTGAAGAAGCCGCAGTATGTGGTTCGTCCGGCGCCAGCGAACAGCGGCTCCTCCTCGCTGCTCTCCAGCGGTGGCAGTGGCAGTGGCAGCAATGGCGCCAGCAATGGTCTCAACAATGGTGGTGGTGGCGCCGCCGGCAGCAGCAGTGGAGCAGGCTCTGCGGCTGCAACTGCAAATGCTGCGGGTGCAGCAACTGGTGGCCAGAGCAGCGTCGCCAGCAATGGCGCCAATGGACACGCCCATTATCATCATCATCACCACTCGCATCATTCGCATCATTCGCATCATGGCAGCAGCGGAGGAGGAGGCGGAGGAGGTGGTGGCAGCAGTAGCAACAGCTCCTCACAGAATCTCGCACTGGATGCGACCGTCTTGAAGATCATCTTTCGCTATTTGCCAGCCGAAACGCTCGTCACATGCTGCTCGGTGTGCAAGGTGTGGTCGAATGTGGCCGTGGATCCTGATCTCTGGAAGCGCATGAATTGTGCCGAACTCAAAATATCCGCCTCGCTGCTGACGGCAATTGTGCGCCGGCAGCCGGAGCATCTGATACTCGACTGGACGCAGCTGGCCAAGCGACAATTGGCGTGGCTGGTGGCACGTCTGCCCGCCCTCAAGAATCTTTCGCTGCAGAATTGCCCGATTCAAGCGGTGCTGGCCCTGCACACCTGCCTCTGCCCCCCGCTGCAGATACTCGACTTGAGCTTTGTGCGCGGGTTGAATGATGCGGCCATTAGGGACATACTGTCGCCTCCAAAGGATTCGCGACCGGGCCTAAGTGATTCGAAGACGCGTCTGCGCGATCTCAAGACATTCAAGCTGGCTGGCACGGATATATCGGATGTGGCTGTGCGTTATATTATGCAATCGCTGCCGCATCTCAAACACTTGGATCTCTCGTCCTGTCAGCGGATTACCGATGCGGGCGTTGCACAAATTGGCACCTCGGCAACGGCCATTCTGCGGCTGGCCGAGCTCAATTTGAGCGCCTGCCGGCTGGTGTCGGAGAACTCGCTGGAGCATCTGTCCAAATGCGAGAGTCTCGTATGGCTGGACTTGCGGCATGTGCCGCAGGTGAGCACCCAGTCGGTCATACGCTTTGCCAGCAATTCCAAGCATGATCTCTGCGTCAAGGATATCAAACTGGTCGAACGGCGACGGCTCTCCCAGTGCAATAGCTGGCACGAATGAGCCCAGGCCTGGTGACGTCATCAGCTGCAACTCCATCAGCAGCAGCAGCGGCGGCAACAATTGCCACCATTCACTGGCTGAAATTCTATGGCAATCTATTGGGACATCTCTACACAAACGGGGGGCCGGCAAACTCCCCATCTCTACACACACACACACACACACACACACACACACACACACACACACACAGAAAACACTCGGTTTTTGTCTCGTTTTAGTTTTGAAAAGTCTTCTTTGTCCTGTTTTTAATATTTGTTTAAAGCACTCAATCTTGAAACAAATTCAATCCATTATTCAGATACAGCAATAGCCACATATATATATATAATTATTATTATTATATATATATATATATATATATGTATAGAAAAACCAAAGAATTTTTCAGTTCAACACAGCAAATTGAAAACCCTTCGCATTGTGTACAGATATATAGATACAGATATATATATATATATATATATTTATAAAATCGAAAATGATTCTCTTAATTTGTATTTGAAATGCTTTACTCAAGCAAAGATTTTTCTTTATTTATAAAATGTATTTGAAATTATAAACCCAAAATATCAGTTAAACATTTAGCAAACTGATTAACTGATTTAATTTTAATTGACATAAAACAACGTTTTTTGAGATACTCAATTTAATCTATGTTCGATTTTACTTTTTAATCAATTTGAATACATTTTTCTTTTGTGACTTTTAATTTTTGTCTAAATTATATCTTAATTTTTGTTTAAGTGTACTAATTTTAAACAAGTTCTTTGGCCAATTTAGCATTCGTTTTAAGACACTCAAACAATGCGCAGGGTATACAAAATTCGGTGCTGCCGAATATGAGAAGAATAAGCTAATTAAATATGCAAATGTGTATTTTAATTTCTATTGTCATTTTTCACAATATTTAGTGATTAGCGAGATTAGAATATATATATATACATACACACACACACACACACATACATATATACATATTAGCATTCCCGATTAAGGATAAATTGTGTGTGGTTTTTATGTGTGGCGTGGTTAATTAACTGTTATTCGAATGCAAATCGGAATAGTGTGTCATATATATACATACATAATGTAGCCCCTAAGCGTATATAAGAGAGAAACGCACACATACACAGAGAGAAACAGAATACTACGTATACAAAGAGCTGGAATTAATCTTAGCTTAGTGCAGTTGATTTGTTGTATGTATTTGTGTGCAACTAGCAAACCACAATCCACCAATCACCTCCAATATATATACACACACACACACATATATATATATATATACATATATATAGTCTGTAGTCTGCCCCGACTTCGTACAGTTATAATTCCTCAGCATCCTCAGCCTCAGACGCGCCACCAACTCCCCCAGTAGAAGCTCAAAAATCAGCACGACAAAGTGAGAAATTAACAAAAACAATATCGTAAAAAATATATAAGCATAGTGATAACGTGTCTAAAATATACATATATATATATATATATCTAGTATATATATAAAATAATACATATATGTATTTGTGTGAGCAATTAAGAATATATTATACATGTACACCTACATACAAACTTATATTTAATGTTTTACAACCAATTATAATAAATAGTGCATAATGTTTAAAATCTACAAAAAATATCGAAAATCTTTTTGAATAATTGAAATATGTTTTTTGCTGTTTGTATTTCTTATTTGTATTCAAATATATTTTAAATTCCGCAGGGATTCACTCAGATTCAGATATATATATATATATATACATATATATATATATGAGTAAAACGGAGTAAAAATGAAAAACAAAAAACATATTTTGATTACCAATTTGTATTATTTAATTTTCATTTTTGTCAAGAGACAATAATTTAAAAAGAATTTGACAACTTTTATATTTCAAATTGAAAATCGAAAAATATTCAAATCAATTTTGAATTATTTTGAATTATTTATTAATTCTACGCAGCAATTTGAAGATGCGCTTGCCATTTTGGCCAATTAATATTTGGCTGATTTGTAGTCGGGCTCATCGCCACCACCAGCACCACTTCCACCGCCGCCGCCAGCACCACCGCCGCCGCCATCCTTGGGCAACTTGCGCTTCTGGATGATGGTCTATAAAGAAAGGATATATAAGAAATGATAGATATTTATATATATATATATATATATATAGTATATATAAATCTGCACCTGAATCTTTTGCCATTCGCGATCGAGTTCGGCTTTTTCGTTCTTCTCGGTTTTGTTTTTGCGCGTCTTGCGGCCATCCTGCATCTTGACGCCGTACTGGAAGGCGGCCTTGGGCAGCGCCTCCTTGGTGCTCATATAATCGGAGTACTCCTCCTGCGTATCGAAGTCCCAGCGACCGATGGGCCCCTTTTTGTTGCCCAAATCCATTTTGGTGTAGTCGACCTCATCATCGGAATCATCGATGGCATCGTTCATCTCCTCCAGTCCCGGATAACACTCGGCATAGCCTTCCGGTTCGTTGGCGAACCGGGAAGCCATCGCCTTGGAGATTTTCGGTGGTGGCGGTATGCTTGTTATAACCGGCTCCGCCACCTCTGCAGGTGCATCACCAAAGTAGGATTGAGGAGCACCGGAGCCGGATTGATTGATTGATTTGGATTGATGACGTTCGTTGCGTGGTTGCATTGTGGGCTGATAGTCGCCCACATCATCGTAGATGTTGTCGCCTGCTGCTTTCGAGGATTTGCTGCCACTGTTGCCACTGCTGCTATTGCCAGCTGCTGCTCCTCCACCTCCTCCTGCTCCACCTGCCGCAGTCTGGCCGCGCACATGCTCCACTTCCTTGTCGTAGAACAAGGGTTTATCCTTGTCGCGCTTCTTGTTCTTCTTGTTGCGTCCACCAGCGCGTAAATAGCTCAAGATTTGCGACAACTTATTGATGACAATATCATTGGTGGTCAGCGTGGCAATATCCTCGCGTGCCACTGGCACCTCATACTTGGATCGCTTCAGTGTCGTCGGTATATCCATCTCCATCTCGTCCTCCATATCGATGACGTACGCCATTCGCCCCGGCGCAAACAGCTCGTTGCGCGGCACCTCCTTGGAGCGGCGTGCCTGGATCAGATTATAGATGTTCCTCGCCAGTGCACCATTGATCGCATTTATGTCCTCCGCCTCGCGACGCTCCGCCTCCAGTTGCTGTGCGGCTGCGGCGGCTTCGGCGAGTTTTTCGCGCGCCAAGGCGGCGGCCAGTTCCTCCTCCTCGGCCTCTTTGGAGTGCAGCTCGGAGCGCACCTTCTGCAACAGGGCATAGTCGAGACCCTTCACCAAATGCGTATGCTTCATGTCACCGCCCAAGAACTTCGATTCCTGGATGATACGACGACGTCGCTCCGCCGCATCCACGCCCGATTTCATGTCGGGAGCAACGGCCCGATAGGCGTTCGTATTGCTGCCGTGGCCGGGTGTACTGCTCGGATTCTGGTAGTCGGGATTGACGTTGTCGCGACGCTCGCGCGCCCTATCTCTGTACTTTTCGGACAGTTCCTGCAGCTTGACATCCTCCTGCTTTTTGAGAGCCGCATAGAAATTCTTCTTTTTGCGTCGCAAATCGTTGCGTTCGCTGCTGCTGCTGCCGCTCGAGCTCTTCTTCTTCTCGCCGGGCGTTGCGGGCGTGGCAAATTGGGCGGTGGCCAAATAACCGCTGCCAGCACCGACGACGCCACCAACGCCTCCGCCAGTTGCGCTGCTGGACGAGGAGCTTGGCGTCGGGGTACGCGGTGTGGCAAGCAGTTTGCGAAAATCATCGTTGGTCAGGCGCACCGACGGTGGTGCCTCCAAATGCGCTTCGGACATTGCATTAAACAAATCCTTGAAAAATTATATTTCTGTATAGATTTTTCTTGCTCGATATTATTGATGCATATCGATAGCACTACAATCGTTGTGTTATCAGCTGTTTGCTATTAATAACAGTTTCCACAAATGTTAAGCTGCTGTTTGTGCTAACAGCTGACTTTACCAGGGCTGCTTAATCACATGGTAAACAAACTGATAAACAAAAAGCAATTAAAGCGTGTAAATATTGAGAAAATGAAACAATTTCTGCGTGAAATACCCAAAGTGGAGCTGCATGCACATCTCAACGGCAGCTTAAATATCGAAAGCATCAAGCAACTGGCCGAGGAGCTGTACGGCGAGCAGACAAAGGAATTTGCGGCACTTTGCAAACGTTTCATCAAATTTGAGGAGGGCGCCAAAATGAACGATTGTTTTGAAAAGTTTGGCTTTGTGCACGAACTGACGGCCACAAAGCGGGGCTTGCAACGTGCCACCGAATTGGTGATACGTGATTTTGCCGCAGACAATGTGATTTATGTGGAGCTGCGCACCACGCCCAAATCAAATGAGAAAATGTCCCGGCGAGATTATCTGCAAACGGTGATCGATGCCATAAAAAGTGCCAGCAAACAATATAAAATTATGGTTAAATTGCTGCCATCCATAAATCGAGGTGAGCCGTTGGCGGTGGCCGAGGAAACTGTCGCTTTGGCCGTGGAATTTGCGCAAACTGAACCAGATTTAATCGTTGGCATTGATTTTAGCGGTAATCCAAATCTGGGTAAATTTAGCGATTTTACGGCCGTGTTGAGTTTGGCTCGAAATAATGGCTTGCAATTGGCCGTGCATTGTGGGGAAGTTGATAATCCCCGAGAGATTCAAGAGATGCTGAAATTTGGCATGTCCCGCTGTGGTCATGGCACCTATCTCACTGAAGCTGACTACGCGCAGCTGAAGGAGAAGAATATCCCAATTGAATGTTGCCTCACGAGCAATGTTAAATCGGGCACCGTTGCCAACTTTAATGATCATCATTTCAGGCAACTGATGGCGGCGGATGTTCCCCGAGTGATCTGCACGGATGATTGTGGTGTATTTGATACAACGCTGTCTGACGAATTCCATTGGGCCATGGAGAGTTTTGGCCTGAGCCGGAGTCAGTGCGTCGACCTTACAGTGGAGGCGATGAAGCATTCGTTTGCCACGCCCCAAGAAAAACGAATTATGCAATTGCTGATTACAGAAAGAGCCAAATAAAATAATCTAAACATAATCGTTTCTTTTAATTGCGATTAAACGGCTAAGTTGGCGGTTTTATCTCTTTGGTGATTGTTCCAGCTGCAGACTGTTAACAGGCTGTTACTCTCCCACTCTCTCGCTGATGTTGCTGTGCAAAGAGTGAGCGAACTCGGCTACCTTCCGTCTGTTGAACTAACATACATTCAATAAGCTAGATTTTGATTTAAAGCTTGCTCACTTGGGTCAATGTTTTATGAATTTTGCAGAAAATAATATATCAAATCATGTGTACATTATTTTAATGTGACATAATTGTTATAAGCACTTATGAGACAAGAGGGCGGGATTTTTAAAATTAAATATTTTATATTTCACACTCTGTTTAAATTTTTAACAAGTGCACATCTCTAGTTGGAACTGTACTGTTAACATAAAATACCGACTCTGTGTGCTGCACTCGTGCTCATCTTCCGTGCACGACACGATAATTCTTTTCAACATAGATCTATTCTTATAATGTAAATTATAAGGCAGCGACGCTTTGATATCATCTGCTCACTTTTAAATTATAGTATTGTACAATTTTATTTAAATTAAGTCACATTTAATGACACGCCGTTCAAATATCGCTATAGCATCGTGTCATGCTAGCACACGTGTCCATCTCTATGCTGTTATTGGCGCGCTCTTATAAGAAATGTTAACAGAGTTTTTCCTCAGTAATAATTCTCTTGTACGTGCGTGCCGTCGCGTCACTGTGCCGCTCCGTTCGCCGCTGGTGTTTCGCTACGTTGTTCGCTGTGTGTTCGTAAATAATAATAAAGTGTCTAATAGTTTGAAAATATCATCAAATAAAATGATTATCAGCCGACAAAAGCAATTAACCGCTATGAAATAATGAAATAACATAAAGCAATATATTTATAAATGCAGCATTTAATAACAACAACATATGCTTTTCTTTCTTTGTATGATAAAATAACGGTGCATCAACATCATTAACAACAACAAAAACAACGACAACTGCAGAATAACAACAGAAATCTAAGCGCCATATCGAAATTAGAAAGAAGAAGAAGCACAAAGTGCTGCATCCAAGTGCTATTTGTTACCGCTATATAGTGCAGGCGTTCGTATGTATTAGTGAGCGAGTGAGGCGCGAACGTGTGTACGTTGTGCATGTGTTTGTGTTTTGTGTTTCTGTTTGTGATTTCATGTTGTTGTTACTTCCCCCATTCCGCAATCAAAAATATTGTATAAATGCAAACATATTTCAGCATATAAACAAATCAATGAATGAATAAATTTATAAATATTGCATAGCGCAGTCTGAGTGAACAACAAAGTCGTCCCCGCCATTTATAGTTAAAAGGTGAGTTATACAAAAACAAACAAATTAATTAATTTTGAGAAATCACAAGTGATGAAAGTACCGTTCCTGTGCGTGTAAACGTTCTCATGTAAGTGTGTGTGTGGGTGTAAAAGAGAGCGCGCGCTTTTGTTTTTGTTTTGCTAAATAACTTGAAATGCGGTCGACAGAAAAAGACGAAAAATTACTCAAATATTTGCGTTAATGGGTAAAAATACGTAGCTGCAGCTTGTTGCATGCAACGCCGACGCTGATGCCGATGCCGACGGCTGCCGGGCAATTCAGCTCCCGTTTTCATTTAATTTTCGTCGCCAGTTTTGCTTTGCTGAACCTGTCAGCATGCACATTTTCTTTTCGTTTTGCGTTTTGTATCTTCCTTCATTGTTGCATTTTTGTCGCTGTTGTTGTTGCTGTTATTGTTGCCGTTTATTTATTATGCGGGGCTACATCATTTTCTTATACGCACACATCCATATATACATAGATATGTTTATGTATATGTATGTTTATGTGCTGTCTGCGTATTTGTTGTTGTCTTCTTTTGCTTTTTTGTTTGTCTGTTTGTCATACCGGTTTTGCTCTCACTCTCTCTCTCTCTACCACTGCTCCGCTTCTTCTTGGTGCTCTCAGCGGCGCTCAGCCGAAACACGCGCTCTTCTGCTCTCAAATGTGCTTGCTGTTGTTGTTATTATTATCGTCGTCGTTGTCGTTGTTGTTGCTGCACAGGTAGTTGTTGCTGTTCATACGTAGTTTACTTTTAGATTTCTTTTCTGCGCTTCTGTGCGTGCACCATATTGTTGTTGTTGTTATTATTTTTGTTAGTTTTTCTCTCTGTTTGTTAGTCTTAATTATGCTTTATTTACTCACAGCAATTATTAATCTGATTTCTGATTTCTGTCTTTGTTCGTTCTCTCTCTGCGTCCGCATATTAAAAGTTAATTTTCATTACTTGTTTGAGCATTTAAATCTCGATTCTCTTCCTTTTTTTTTGTTTTTTGCTTTCCTGTCTTCTTTTTTATTGTTTATTCTACGTTTTGTATATTTTAAAAATTGCTTTTACATTTTGAGTGTCGTGTTGCCAAGGCTGTTAAACTTTGTTAATGGATTTTTTTTAAAAGGTTTTTTAGAATATTTGCTCAACTTTCAAATCTTGGCAACATCTTTCAAGATTTTTATTTTGTTTTGCTATCGTTTGTTCCGCACTTGTTTCCAGTTTCATTGTTTTTATTTTCTTGAATTCGCTAGCGTCGATTGAGAAAAATCATGGAAAATAAATATTTTCACTGTATTCTTGATTTTTTCTTTTCTTTATTTTTTGTTGCCTGTAGCCTGTTGCCATGTGTTCGTTGGGCATTTGTTATTTGAAGTCAGTTTGCGAGAATATCTTGATTACTGCGTAGACGAAATTACAATTAAAAGAAATAGCTCAGTACAGTGATCACTCGTATATCGAAACGCTTTTCGAAACAGTCATTGATTATGCTCTATGAAAATTTAAAAATGTATTATTATAATTTGCTACATTTTAGATCTATATATTTTTAAAGAATCTAATTATTATAATAAACTGAATTTAAAATAACAAACAAAATGACTTTTGCTAATTGAGTATAAAAAAGTTGTCACAAGCCGGATATTATTGGGCAATTAATTTCAGCTCAATTCTAGTTGAGGGTATTTAGAGTCCAACATTAAATATATAATAAAAGAGTGGCTTGCACAGAGTTAAATAGAGTTTAATTCACTTGCCTGATAATGTGGGATTAATCTTTATTAACATACGCATGTATATATGTGCATATACATATATATATATATATATATATAAGTGAATATTAACAAATATTCGTTGTTCTGATTTGATCCACAAAAAGCTGAGTTCAACGCAAGCTAAATATACACGAAAAAATGCGCAATAATTGAAAACCCCAAAACCAACCGAATTATTCATCTTTTACATTGAGTACTTTGACGTGTGACGCATCTGTCGACCGACCAACCGTCAGACCGACAGACCGACCGCAATCGAAGGTCTCTGGTCTTGAGTGGGGGGCGTAGTGGGTGGAGCTGCCTGGGCGCCTTTGCCTTGTTGCCTTGTTAAATCGTGTCCAATTATAAGCATATTAAACACATTGTGCTGACAAAAAGCCCAAAAAAAATCCAACAAAATGTGTGTGTGCGTGTGGGTGTGTGTGTGTATGTGTGAGTGTATGTTTGAAAAGTAAAAGGCAAAAATGATTATTCTATTAATAGTACTAAATTGATGTGCCATCGAGCTTGAGCTCTCTTGTGGCCAAAATATATTATTTATTTAATATAAAATAATATCAGTCGACACAGAAAAATGCAAATAAGTTAATTTAAATATAATTAAAAATCAAACTTAATATGTATGCATATTAAATTAAAATAAAAATAATACAAAATTATTTTTTTGTTTTTTGAATTGCAAAATTTGTAAACATTTATTGCAGGAATTTGGCAAAAACCCCGCAGAAAATCCAATCATATTAAAAGATTGAATTAGTCATGTGGCCAAAGCCCAGATAATAAAATCTGGGATTTTTCTTTATTAAATTGACAGCAGAAACTTGTTGTCTGCACTCAGAAAAAACGGCCTAACTTTTAAAAATAAGCCATACTTTTTGCGTCTAGTTTTCCTCATTTTATTATTCAGAAAGCAAATTTCTTAAATTTAATTTTGTGGCTTTCTAACGACCAAAGTTTGCATTTAATTTCAGTATGAAAATACATCTAATTTCCAGAATGTTGCTTTCTATTTGTTTACATATAGAATTCTTACATTGTTGCAAAAATATTATTATTAAAAATTAGTATTTTAAGATTTCATTTTTACAAACATTTCACATAGTATATACATTTATATAACTTGGCCTCTAAAGTAGACAACAGCTACATTGTCATATAATAATATAGAGAGCAATTTCAGAAAGAATTTCAGAAAGGACTTTTTCTAAGAATCATGTTTTTTTTTTTTAGAAATGCATTTTTTAATAAATTACGGATCGTTTTTTTCTGAGTGTAGGTATAGAAACCACAGCTCGATTTGTAAGAAAACGCACGAGCGAGTGAAAAACCCAAGAAAAGAACGAGAGCTGGTTCAAGAAAAATTAAATTTAGACATACGCAGCAAAAGTAAAAGAAAAACACACATTTGCTGAATACAATATGCTATAATTTTAGTTTAACCTGTGCGCACAATGCCAAGAAAAAATGGTATATATAAATACTATATACATACATAAGTATAATGTAAATAATAACAAATCAGAAAAAAATTTCACACGCCTTCTACACAATATAAAGAAAAATCGCATTGAAAATACGTTTTTCTTTTTCGCACGATTTTCTTACTGGAAATTCGCTTAAGAATTTGGATTCTTTTGTTGCGCTGTTTATATTCCAGTTCCATTTTAATTTATGTCTGCTCTCTAATTTTGTTTAGTTTATCATTTGGCTTCTTGGCCTTTACCCACAAGTTGCTCAACTATTATTAAATAAAGTTATTTACACCGCGAATACTGCATGAATCACCTGCTGTGCTTCAATTGTTTATTTCCCTGGCTCACCTTTAAAATATATAATAAATTATTGAAACAGCGACGAGAGGCATCCTAACACAATGCTGTTGCTCTGACTGACTTTTCTCAGTTCGCATTATAATTGGATGGGGCTTAGAGGGGAGCCTCAGTGAAATTAGACCTTTGCGCCCATTGTTGGCAAGTGTGTGGAAATACCTCTATATCTACAATTATATGTACATATGTGGCACAATTGTCGTAATGAAATCATCTAAAACTCTAGCGATGGCAACCAATTTATTAATTAATGGCATACAATTTTGGTGAACACTAATTAACCAAATTGCTCTTAAATTGATTGAAAAACAAGTAAGATCAGCTTTCTTTGGCATGCCGAAGCTTAAATAACCTTTAAAAAACTATTATAATAGTTCGATCAAAATGATCTTGTGTATTAATGTGAAAAGTTCGTTTTTGTTAGGATATCTTCGTTAACAAAAATGTTTTTCATATAAGAAATCATCTTTCGACTTCGTTTAAGTCTTACAAACTTAACAATCAAATTCGATAAGGGTTTATGATTTATGTCATGCAAAATATAACAACAATATTAAATTGTTATAAAAATGTGCTTCAATTCAAAATAATGTGTACTAATTAACTATCCATTGTTAAGCATAAATATATTTCCCTTTTTTTTTTAAATTAAATTAGAGATTTATAAAAAAAACCCTTTAATTTGCGCACTTCTCTTTTCTCAATATGATTTTTATGTACTTCAGGCTGTTTTAGTTAAAGAAATTGCTGCCACATCTACTTGCAACATCTTTGTACATGGCGTTTGCTTTTGGCTGTTGACTTGACCAAAACAACAAATGTGATTTGATGGGATGTAAGCGGCATTAGATAGACCTATGTATGTTTGTATGTATGTATGTACATGATGTATGTACGTATGGATGTATTTGCTTGCTTTTAACTGAAAGACTGGGGCGTGACTCTCCAGATAGATGAGGGCAGCACGAAGTGGGTGTGCCCCGAGGCGAACAGTTTTGGCGCGTGGCCAACTCTAAGCACAAAGAGGAAAGTAATAAAGACTGGGGGAGAAAGAGCGTGAGAGAGAGAGAGAGCAAAAATCTAGCCAAAAATGTAAATAAGCAATTGTTACATGTGCGCAAACCCAAAACAGTTCTTAATGAAATGCTGGCCCAATATTTGCAGATCTATCTTTATGTATCCAGTAAGGCAGTATGTCGGTCATTTAGCTAAATTATATTTTGATACCCAGAACCCATTCAAAAGGTGAGGAGTGTAAAAAGCAGACAGTAACATGTCCGACTCCATAAAGTATACATATATAAATTCCTGATCAGCATTCACAGGTGGGTCATGACTAAGTTCGTCTGTATGTACATGGTTATCTCAGAGACTATAAGATCTAGAGACTTCAAATTTCTAATA